CCCCAACAAAACACGACCTGGTCCCCGGGGAACAATATGAGCAAAGCCCAAAGCTACAGCATAACCCCCACAAAGACAAAACAAATACGCCACAACCCCAGAAAGAAGGGGAGCAGCGTGGGCCCCCGAAGAAACGAGCACGGCGCGAACCCTAAAGCCCAGCGCCTTGGGCTGTTTCTCATTCTCATACGGATGCAGCCAGCGCCTTCAAAACAAGAGCAAGAAGACCCCGCAAGGCTTCATATCCAGAAAATTTCTGAGCCTAAGACGCTGCCCGACGCCTGCTAAGCTTTCCCGTGGTTTTCTTCTTGGAGAGATCCCACGGGGTCAGCCTCTAAGGCTGGCACTTTTTGCGGCTACGTCCTAACGCTGTCAGCTGCGACCGGGCGCAGGGGGCCCAAGGGGGTTGCCCGGGCGGAAGTTGGGCGCCACGTTTCTATCTTGACGAGATGACCCGCCCGCAGCCTCCTCCAGCCGCAATCTCCTCGAGGGGTGTCCGGATCCGCGAGGAGCTAGCCGCGCGCCTACAGCCATGGCCTCGCGCCCGCGTGGCTGGCTCTCACTTTCGGCGCTCTCTCGGCTTCCCTCCGCGAAAATCATCAAGCAAGTGGGGAGGTGTGAAGGCGTTGGCAGCAGGCTGGCGCCCCTCAGGGTTCCCCGCTCGCAGCCTCCGAGCGCACACCCCCAAGGAGGAGCTGCGAGACGCTCACCCCCCTCCTCTCGTGTTGGTTTTTCCGCAGTTTTCGCGGAGGCTCTCAGGCGTCGCCGCGTCTGATCTGGCGCGGAAGCTGGGAAAGAGGTGGGGCAGGGGTTGGGCAGGGGCTGGAAAGGGGTTGGGAGGGCAGGGGCTGGAAAGGGGTAAGCCCCCACGGAACCCTGCGGGCGTCCTATCCACCTGAGGAGCGTGGCGCGTGAGGAGGTGCCAGCGTTACGCGTGACGGCGTGACGCGCTTCAGAGCGTGACGCGCGAGGGGGTACCAGCGTGACGCGTAACGGCGTGACGCGCTTAGGAGCGTGACGCGCGTGAGAGTCTTAGCGAAGCGCGGGAGGGTGTGACGCGCTTCGGAGGGTGCCTCGTGTAAGATTCTTTGCGAGGCGCGTGAAGTTGTGACGGCGGGGCGCGTGGCGTGGGGCGCTGGGGTGTGTCAAATGGTGCGCGACTTAAGACGCAGCGCGCCGCCGCGGCCGACATGTGGCAACGTCACCCGTGGGGGCGTGGCGTGGGTGTGGCGTCGCCACATGTGACGGCGTGACTTACAGCGGCGCGACGCGTGGCTGGCGGCGTGACGTGTGACAGCAGGAGGGCCCGGCGGTGTGTTGTCTGTGTGGTGGGTGAGGTGTCTGCGAGGGTGTTGCGGGCATGTGCCTCGCATCCCATGGATGGGCCGCTGGGCGTTGCCTTTGCGGGTGGCTTGTTTTGTTGTCGTGGTTGGGTCTATATCTCATCCCCACGCCGCCGCCATTGTGTGGCGCCTTCGTGGTCGTCGTGCCTTTGTCATCAGGTCGCCTGCGGATGTCTCTCAGATCGTCAGGTCTCCCGCGGGTGTTCCTCAGGTCGCCAGGTCTCCCCCGGATGTCCCTCAGATCATCAGGCCCCCCGCGGATGTTCCTCAGATCGTTAGGCCTCCCAGATATGCTCCTCAGATCGTCAGGCCCCCCGGGTGTTCCTCAGGTCGTCAAGGCTCCCACAGGTGGCCCCCCGATCGATCGCCAGGCCCCCTACGGATGTGCCACAGGTCACCCGGTCCCCCGCGGATGGTCCTCCGGTCGTCAGGTCTCCCCCGGATGTTCCTCAGGTCGTCAGGTCTCCCCGCATGTTCCTCAGATGAGCTGAGGTCAGCAGCGTCCCGCGGATGAATGTTCCTCAGATCATCAGGGCGCCCAAGGCTGTCCCCCCGATCATCAGGGCGCCCGCGGATGTCCCTCCGATCGATCGCCAGGCCCCACTCAGGTGCCCCTCAGATCGTCAGGGCCCCCGCGGATGTTCCTCTCGCAGGTCGTCAGGCCTCCCGCGGATGTCCATCAGATCGCCAGGCCTCCCACGGGTCCAGATGTGCCCCAGGTCGTCAGGCCTCCCAAGGATGTCCCCCAGATCGTCAGGCCTCCGGCGGATGTCCCCCAGATCGTCAGGCCTCCCAAGGATGTTCCTCAGGTCGTCGGGTCTCCCACGGAGGCGGATGCTCCTCAGATCGTCAGGTCTCCCGCGGATGTTCCGACCGTCCGGCGCGCGGCGCCACGCTCAAAAGCGTGACGCGCCACGCTCTCGAGCGTGACGCCCCACGCATGGGGGCAAGCACGTGCCTCCTTCCTTATAGTAGGGGGAAGGGGGGAAGGCTTAGGTCCGCGACCTGTAAGACGCTCGCCAGGTCTTACGGTAGGCCCCCCTACCCCCCCTAGGGCCCCCCTTCCCCCCCCGACAATCCATCCAAAAACCCCGCCAAGATCATTTTGGCCATTATTACTCTTTTAATTTGTGTTGGAGCCGACCTAACTAAAAAAACAGAGACCTGAGGAAGATAAAAAAGAGAAAACAGGAAGATAGCAATATTTTCTACTCCCAGGATAGCATGTTTCCTACATGATAGTATTATGATAGTACCCAGCCAGATGTTCGTAAGTCTTGATGTGAGTCTGGCATCGTATAGTTCTCCTGCGATCTTGTGCAGCTCGTCGTGATATTTTTCCGACCCCCCTTCCTCAAGTCCCAGCACAGCAAGAGCGCCTGCGACCGCTAACCCCTGAAATTCTTCCTTCGACTTCGTCTTGTTAGAGCTTGCACATCTGATACGCCATTTCATTCCATGTGGCGCCTCTTTTTTTTGTTTTGGTATCCTGCTATCTATAATACAGCCGGAGCATCGAATTAGGCTGGGTCAGGTTATGGGCCCTTCACATCGAGCTCGGCCGATTAGGGACCGATAATATTCACATACATAGAAATTGCTTGTTGTCGTAGTGTCTACACGCACGAAGCAGTCCCTTCAGGTAGTCTATGCATGGAGTGTAAGTAGGTAGCGTGTAGGTAGCGCGTAAGTAGAGTGTAGATAGAGTGCACGTAGAGTGTAGGTAGCGTCGTGTAAGTCGAGTGTACGTAGAGTGTGGGAGTCGACTTGAGATAAAGAAGAGCCGTAACACGCGTAGGGTCATTCATGGTTTCCAGAAGTAGTCCAGTTTTCTCCACGATCTTTTGCTCGATATAATTAGAGCCAAAGCGTCATGGCCCTCAGCCCCAGTGCGTCGTCCTTCTCTGGCAAAAGTATGGGTGGAGTGACTAGAAGATAGCGATTATTTCAACAGGAAAAGGCACAGCCTTCCGATCATCGCCGAAGCAAATTCAGTAAGCATGGGCATCCCTATGCATGTGAACCCTTTCCTGACCTACTACTTGATGGGGCCCACCAAGTAGTAACAGGGTATCCATTTTTCGTGGTCCCGGTTTCTATCTTTGCGAAGAGGTCCCAGAAACTACATCCGAAGGACTATCCAGAAACATCGCTATAATCAGATCACAAAACTGACAACGACGAAGTGCGTGAGTGTACGACTACGCCCCTGTGACTATCCAATGGCAAGTTTCAGAAGTCATCACTCGAACCACGCAGCAGCTGTAGCTCAAGGCGGTTCGATGATAATCTTGATAACATGAAAGAAGTCATGAGTGGCCATAACCTTTGCAGCTTTTTGGACGTTTTCAACCGCTTTCTCGAATTTCGCCTTTGCATCCGCAAGCTCCTCACAAACTTAGACCAAAAGAGAGCCGAGTCTATTTATGCACGAATTGCCGAGTATTATTCAAAAAAGGATGAGGGTAGAATCCTTGCCCCGTTGAGTCCAAAGAGAGAACAAATCGGCGCGCATTCTTTTCGAGAATTTTCAGAATTAATATCTGGTAAGGGCGGAACAATACAAAACCTGTGAACGAGTTCCCGAGAAATAGGAAAAATTTACACGATTAGTTGACAATGTCCAAAACAAGACAACTATTGCACGAAGGGAAAAACCTAGGTTAGAAGAAGAGGAAAAGCCAGCCGGTTGCCTTATTTAGTGCTTTGAGCGTCGCTGGATCTAAATCTTCGCCTTTTTACAGGCAAAAGCCAATCAATGTAGGCGAGTGTCCAATACAAGACATCTATTGAAATCGAGCCACTTTTGACGGGGAGGGATCTTTTGATACAGGAAAAGAAAACCTAACTCTTCACAAGAGAAATAGGTGAAGGCTCCAATTTCCGAAAAAAATTAATTAGGTGCGATGTAAGAGGGAACAAGGGTAGTGCGAAGCAAGTCGCAACAGCAGTGCGAGCAGTAGCAGTAAGAGTAGGAGTAGTACTATTTCGTAGTAGTCGTGTCCCCCTTCTGATGAAGTATATTGAAGCGGGTAGCTTCGTTTCGTTAGGTTGTTGAAGCCGTCAAGTTAGGTTTCGTTAAGTTATGGATCCATCCAGTTCAAGTTACGGATCCGTCTAGATTAGATTAGGCAGGTTATGAATCCATCTAGGTTATGGATTCTGTCCTCCATCGTCGCTTGGGAAGCTCAGCTCATAAGGGTCGCAATTGCCTTTTGCACAATCCTCCAGCATTTTCTTCAGTGATCCTTAGAGGGACAAGGAAGCGGGTCACGGAGTGAGGGGCAAGGCTTTTGGAGTAAAGAGGTAACGAGGTAGGAGCACTGAACTTCCAAAGGTGAGGAACAATAAGGAAGTAACAAAAGAGTCGTGTAACCAACAAAGATTCCTGTCACAGTATTGTATAACCCCTCAACATAAACGTTTCCTTGGGCCACTGCAGCCACAACCTCGATCTTTCCTCGCAGCGTGCCGCCTTCCTTTTTTAGAGCAATGATTAACCTCTGGATAGTAGTCATACAATTTCCAACTTCAATTTTTCGCTCAGAGAGAACGCCTTTTCCCATTAACAAACCTCTCCGACACGTTGCTTCTCAGACTGAAGGTTGAAACCCTTTTTGCCCCTAGTTACTGGAAAAACTCTCCAGGATGCTTCGGAAACCTCTTTCCGGGGGTTGCCAGTACCAAACGAAACTTTTAGGACGCCAAGCCTTAAATTATCGAGCCCGTTTTCGCGGACCTTGATTAGACGTCGACGTTGATCTTGATTGATTTTTGAGGATCACAGCTAGATTCTCGGGGAAGAGGGACAAGACGCCACTATTCCATTTTATCAGAACTTACGCTTACGTAGTTCTATGGCGTCAGAGATCCTCAACAATAAACACCACCCTTCTAGTACAACTACAAACGCAAATAGATACTAGAAAAAACTAGGACTAAAAAAATACACCTCCAGCAGACAGTAGAAAAAAACCAGCTTCAGGAGTAGAAAAACCACCAGGCACTAGACAGAGACCAAGACTAGAAGAATACAAAGACTAAGAAACAACCAAAACTAAAAATGGTCTAGCACTAGAATAATTCCTCTCTACGACAGTAAAAACGCGATCACAGGTAAAGTAATTCTAGGTAGCATCGTCTCAAGGAGAGAAAAACAAGAAGTGCTACCTCTTGAAAGGAAAAATTCCTTCGTTTGAAAAACATAAAAACAACAAAGACTACAAGACAACACAGAGTACTTACAACAGAGACTACCACCACAAACACTACGAGTAGTCTTCTTCAATGTTCTACTTATAGAGGAACTATAGCTACTTTGAAATTTTCGGGTAGCAAATAAAATGCTATACATTGTAAAGGGTAAAAATAAGCACAACCTGAGGCTGCGGACTCATGCAAGATTAAGATTAGCGACGTGCAGGTTTGTTTACGTGAGATCACAGTGAAAGACGTGTAGCTTCTTTCACGCTTATTCCCTTGCCGAAACTCAAGACATCAATTTATCAGTCAGTGAAGGTGTTCACTTGCGAATTTCATCAAATTATGAAAGCCATAATGTCCTATCGATGGATGCTAGTGAACCCAACTTCACGATTTCTTCTCCGACTTCGTTCGCAAGATTAGAGCCTCTTTGTTCTAGTCCCTTGCCTCATGTTCTTGCCTCGACGGTGCCATACACATTTTGGCTACGTCACGTCCTGGCTACATAGTACCTGTACATATTACCTACAGTAGTATTGAAATACAGGTCTAACGGGAACTGCCTTAACAAAAGCTTTTGCTCCATCCTCCATCAGTTTGACGAGGTTAGCATCAGCGCCACGCCGATAAGGATCAAAGTCGGAAGATGACGCTTTAATTAAAGCTTCGCTCAACGCTTCCGCTCCTGCATTCGAACGCAAACTGTCTCTTAGAAGGATACATCTGAAGGAGATTACAGGTCCTAGATTTACTGGATCACCTGAAGTAGCCGAGTAGCCTAGATAATAATGATCGCAGGCACTCGGCGGCTGTTGTGTTTGTTACTTGCATATTTCTTCGAACATTCATCTAGTACTCTCGGAGATACAACTTGTGGATTCTCAAGAATGCCTCCTAGAACAACAACATATCTCAAGAATGGTGCTCAAGCAAAAACAATCTTGTGAACCTTAGATAGCCAAAAAGAAAAAAACTTCCGTTCTAGGTGGTTGGAAGAATCAAAAGGACTCTCCACACCGCAATCGTGACAGAGCTAAATCCCCATAATCTTTGGATCTTCAAAACCTCGTCGACGCTCGCTTTAGCCTTTTTCATTCGTTGCTTATAGAGTGTCTTAGAGATGTGCCCAACAAACGACAAACCCTTGTAGAGAAGGGCGCTAAGAAGTAGAAGAAGGGAAGAAATTCAACTTGGTTCCATTATAGCCCTCAATCAACCCAATCGGGGATGTCATGGCAACCTGGCACGCCGTTCGTAGCATTTTCGCATCTACATCTGAGGCCATGCAGTCGAGTAGTTGTACCTCCGAAGACTTATATTATACCTAGAAATCATACTATTGTTGTTCTTAAGTTTTCTTTCCGAGAAAAGTCCCAAATTCTGTATCTCCGCATACGGGTCAGAGCCATTCCCATCGTCATCAGAATCGGGTCAGAAGTTAGAAGAGAGTACTGCACCCAGAGGCCAACCAAGTACGTCTTTTCTTCATTGGGTATAGGAAACTGCCAACGTGCAGCCCATTCTCGTCAGTCAATCAATGGGGTTGCCTCCGCAGGGCGCCGACCTTCCCGCAGCTGCGACTGCCGCACCTCTCTACTGGGGGTATCTATAATAAACTGCTTCTAACCCTAATTTTGAACATGAAGGAAGAGCCCTTTTTACATAAGAGAAGAACTGGGAAATGACATTGGAAGAACAAATTCAAGCACAAGGAAGAGGTTAAAAGAGAAGGAAAAAAAAAAAATCACTAAAATTAGGGTTAAGGTTGAGGGCCCACTAAATCACTACTTACCAGGATCACAATTCACAAGTATTCTTTTTTTGATGCAGTCTCAGTCTACCTTGAGGCTCCTGCGCCTGGCAACTTCCTCTATGATGACTTCCCTAAATGGTCATTCTCTATGGTCATTTGCACTCCCATTACAAGAAAATCTAAAAAAAGGCGTGACATGGTCGAGACAATCGAAAAAAGGGAGTATTAAAAAAAGGAAGAACGTTCTCTAAAAAAGGAGGAAGGCTAGTCTTAACCAACTTCATGGCACCGTTCGCCTCCAGGGTAACAGCACCCAGATCCGCCTCAGTGGTCTGTTCCGCAATGCTGCCTGGCTCCCATCTTAGAGTTAAGCAGTTTATTGGGTACCGTCGAAGAGCTATATCTGAACTGACAGTGAGTTTTAGTCTTGTTACGAACACATTGTAGTATCGAAGTTACAAGTGATAGCCTTGCCTCCAACAAATTGCCATGAGAAGATAAATCGGCGCAGGGTCGTGTCCCTACTTCCAGCCACTTGTTTCTGACGGATGATGATGATGATGATGATGATGTATCCAGCAAGGAGCGAAGTGGAAAGTACTACTCGATAAACTACTGCAGTATTAAGGAAGTAACAGACGAGAATAACCGAGATACTGAAGAACAAAGAGTAGCCTTGAAAAGCTACGTCCCTGACTTCAGTCGGTAACACAATGATTTCCAGTTTTCGATTAGACAGTATCTACAACCATAAAGACGGATTGGCCTCGAAAGTTGGAATACTCGGGAAACAGTCCTCGAAACACGGAGTAATTGCATTGTCCGGGTTGTTGAGCTCGTCGCCCACGATTCTTAGAAGAGCTATCATAGAACAGCCATCTCTAGCGGATGTCATGTTAGGTGTGCAATCTCTAGATACATGCTGTACATCTTGTATTCCATGTAGGGAGAAGGATAAGCCCAGCAATAGAGTGATAAGAGCGCACCCTGTAGAAGGGCTGCCTATTAGTTACTACTATTACGAGAAGGATAGACGGTTCGCCACAGACCTACAGACGGCCCACCGGCAGAGTCCGAAGCACAACGACGCGCCAGGCAAAAGCAGGGCGGAGAGGCCTAACAAGAGGCGCCGCGGTCCGGCTGCGTTTGCCAGTGCCGCCATTGTGAAACACAGGCCACGGCAGAGAGCTCTGGCCAACACTAAAGGCAAAAGGCTAAGCAGGCGCAGCGGTAAAAGTAGCAAGCAAAACATCACCAGAGGCATTTAGTCGAAAGCCGGCGCGCCGCGCCAAGGCAGGCCCCAAGCGCTGGACCCCCCGGCGGCAAGCTACACCGAAGTCCGGAGCGTATGCTCAACGATGGCAACAGGCCCGCACCAGGTGCGCGCGAAGGGAGCGGCGGCGCCCATGCACGGCGCCGCTGCTGATTTCGAAACGCCAACGCACCGCCGACCGCAAACCACGGCCCCGAAATAAAACCGCCGCACGCTGAACCACTCGCGCCAGGAGTGGAGCCGTAGATGCCCTGCCGGGCCCCGGTGTCGCACCGGGCTCCATCCGTATAATGCAGAAAGAACCAAGAGCCAAGCCCCGGACGGCGGACCTCGCCCAGAGGCGCCGACGTGCGCAGGTCGTCTCTCGATGTTTCCCCATTGGGCCCCGGTGACCAACCGGGGAAGGACTATCTATGGTTCTATATCAAGATTCTTGTAGAACTACAAGTACGCTGCTTGCGTCTTGTAGGGTAAGCAAGTAACTGATCACTGGTACTATCGAGACACTGAAGGAAGATTAGACTTAAGCTATCTTACGCTACTCATCAAAGGACATAAATTTTTCAGCCAATAGAGCGGCGGGAGAAAACAAAGTGTGGTCTTCTAAGCTATGCAGATAGTGCCTTCTCTTACTCTATCCTTCGTTTGAAAATGATGAATGTGTAGCATCACAGTAAGATTTTCTCCGTTGTTCTTGATATGAAATAATTATAACGAGCCTTGAAAACAATTCCTCAAGACGTCGAGTAGAAAAAGATCATTCACTATTATTCTTGTGAATTATTTGTACTCTTGTCTATGAAGATCGTGAAGTAAGAGAGACGAGGGAAAATAGCAAAGGGCCAACCTTGTAAACCTTCGAAAGTCAAATATCTAATACTATTATATATATCACACTAGTACAATAGGTCGTAAAACTGCAGTAATCGAAGCAGATGCAACGGGATTACCATTCATCTCCATCACCGGTGATGTAACCGAAGCTCCCGCATCCGAAGATGCCTTCTCCAAGGCTGCAATTGGAACTTCCACATCCGCAGATGCAGAGAGAGACGCCTTCTCCAAGGCTGCAGTTGGAACTTGCACATCCGCAGATGCAGTGGGATCCTCCGATGCAGTAAAAGATGGGACTCTCGCATCCACAGACACAGTGCGAAGTCCTTCCATATCCGCAGCATGATGCGCCTGCTCACGGGCAGAAATATGTAGCAGAACCTGAGGGAAAGCTTTTGAGATAGGTCAAGGTAAGCAAGTTCAAGTTGGTAATGTTACAAAGAGAAATCAGGATCATTCTTTATGATCTTAGACCAGCTTTAAGGTTTATGCCCTCATAGTTGTGTACAAACTTCTCCAAGTGGTTGGAAGTAAACCTGGTTGTTGGAAGTAAAATTCGTACCCAGGGTGTTTGTTTAGATGTTCTGAGAATATAACCTGAAAGCAAAATCGTGAGACGTTCTTATAAACAAAATCGTGACTAGGGATGAATACCTCGCAAAAAATGATTCCCATTTTCCATACGGAATCGGCAGCGAACCTGCGTCCGCGTGGAAAACCAATCAACATCTTCACGATGCAAGCAAGAACAAGTTAACGAAGAAACGAAAACTTCTCTCAAAGAAAGTAAGTAATACGTCGAGAACTTCTCTCAAAGAAAAGGTCTCAACACACTAAGCTGTGAGTTGCAAATGTAATGTCAGTTTTAGACCAAGGGTCTCGGTTTTTATTCTTATTCGGAAAAGGTACTTTGGATCTTATGTCGGAAAAATCATGTTGAACACAGTCTCAAATTAGTTTTAAACCGAGTACGCTTAACGCGCTAATGCTTCTGGTATCCTGTCTTATCTGCCGTTGTTTCATCACTTGTACACTGCAGCAAGAACCTCTGATGATCTTATTGATGTTGTCTGTTGTACTTCTTCTCTAAACTGACCATATTCCAAAATCTTCTCTCAGATCTGCACCAGGGAAAATGACCTCTGACACGTTCTTGCAGACCGGCAAGATCACACTTGCTTCATACAGATACACCACACTGCTTCAGGAAGATCAAGGCCTGCGTGACTGACGTTGCAACAGGAGTACGGATGAACCACAAGAACGAGAACACTCACATACATGCGCAAAAAGAATGGCCTGAGAGAGTGGTCTGTAGTTTGTTCTGTGAAGTCCTCTAACTTGCTGTATCATTTAGAAAAAAGTCTGTTCTCATTGCGTCAAGAATATCTCTCTTAGTCCGCTGTGTACCTCGAAAACTGCCAACCGTTGTAAGCTCCGGCACCCGCACCGATCAAAACGCAAAGACCTGCGATGGTGGTGGGAGGATTCGTGTAGAAACTGTAATTGAAGTAGAGTCAAAAGAGGTCTAATCGTACTCAACTTCAACATAAAAAGCAAGGATCTTGTTCTGTAGAGTCGTACATTTCAATCTCGATACCTGATCATCCTAAAAAGTCAAAAAAACATAAATTGCACCTGCAGGCATAAAGGCTTTTGTTTTCATATATCGTGGAAGCATAGCTCCAACCAGCAAGGCGCTCGTAGCTGCACCGAGGCTATGAAAGGGCTCCATTTTTGTTGTTGAGATATCTTCACAAGAGCACCCCCAACTGCTTTAGGGGGTATGTATACTGTAGGGGTCAAACTAGGTAACTCGATGTTGATAGCTCTTCATCATAAGCTTGAAATCCTTTTACTGGGTCTATTCTGTCTACTAGGTATGCACTTCCGAAGTAAGCCGCACCCATCGAGACCCCTGCGACCAGACTTGCAACGCTTTTTTTCTTCACATAACCCATTACTCCTCCTACTGCAACCAAAGCGCCAGCAGTGATGTTCAAGTGTGCAACACCTTGAGGAGCCGGCATGTTGTTTGTTGAGGCGGTAGGAGGTAAGTGGTCGTAATCGGACAGACGATCTTTACATGTAACTGTACTAAATTATTCTTTCTGCTCTAATTTCGGTTTGTATCTATCTTTAATGAAGACTAAGACGTCGCTCTTTCGCTCTCTTGATCATTGATTCTGGCTGTTGTAGATCGACTGAGCGGATCGCATATGTCTGTGATGTCCAGCCACCGATCATGGAACAACCATCGGAACGACGTTTGGAGGAAGATCCTGTGGAAAGAACAACCCATGGGAAGACAAACTCATTAGAAGAACAGCACCAAGCGTTTTTTGCTCTATCATATCGAGAGTCCACGTCACTCAGGAGAGATGCGTGGAAGAAGTCGTGTTTCGTGAAAGCTCCAACGGAATTATATGTCAAAGCCATGATATCTCTGGACGATTCCCCACCAGTGATCACGCAACAGTGTACCATAGTCACCAATAATGTTTCCATGATCCTTGTTTTTAGTACCACCATCATGATCCTCGTTTTCCCGCCCATCTCTAGTACGAATGAAGAAGTCGAGGTTCGAGGAATCGTTAATAGGATTTTCTTGGTTTTTTTTCATCAAGTACGCTACTTTCCGAGATCTGTGTGACAGGTCCTTCACGTAAGCACGCACAAGCCATCCTAAATGATCCCATAGCACTTCATTATCCGTCAGAGATTGGACCCATGCCTCTACCGATGCTGGCTTGGCTTCTACTATTGAACCAGAGACTTTTCTGCTAGATTCTGTAGTTCGCGCCATTCGAGATCTCACGTGTAAAAGCTGCAACAGAGACACGGAAGATGTACCGTCGTTGAACAGCCTACACGAAGGCAGTTTTGGCCAATGAGAAGGCACACTCACGACAAAGCAACGTTCTGCTGATGTCTGATGCGGAAAATCCTTCAGCGGGTAAAATGTTCCCCCACACGAAGATGTACCGTCCTGAGCTTGTAGCAGTTGCACCTCGTTGTCGTTGTGGACCTCGAGCATGAATTTTGCAATCGCATCTGCGGAAGCGAACTCAGCATGCTTGAAAATCTGGAAGGCTTGTAGGTTCACTCCGACTTCACCAGAGGATGCAAGTCCGGATGATGACGATGAGGATTCGCGTTCACCAGATGACGCACGTCCGGATGATGATCCAAGTCTCGCTGTTGCTCCAGATGATGATGTTGACGATTGAGGTCTCCCTGCTGCTGCATTCGCGGTTCTCACAAATGTCCTATACCTTTCCTTCCCTGAGCGATTGTCGCTCCCAGTCGTACACAAGTAGTGCAGACAGGCTACTGAAATTGCTCCATCCAGCACACCCGGTCGCAGGGGTACACCTTGAGAAAGGTCGGCAAATATTGCGTCTCCTCTGAACGAAGGCTGCGTTATTTTTGGAGCACTCCTGCAGCCACTATGGCCTGCTACTATGTGTCCTCTCACATTGCCCGCAAAACGCTCCAGCATTGCACGAGAAGCATCAAAGCCGAGCACAAACGAATCCGATGGAAACTCACAAGAGCTCAGACCACTGCCACAACCGTAGTCTGCAAAAATCTTAGGCGTATTTGACGAGGTATCCAAGCAGGCGACACACGTTCGTGCTAATGCTGATTGACTGCCGCCAGAACCAGGGTCCACGTTTTGTTCCGAGTCGTCTTGGTTGCTCCCAGTCACAGGAGCCGTAGGATGCTCTCCTACTCCCCCTGTGTCTAATTTCTGTCGCTTCGTTCCACTTCCCTCCACATCCACTTCTTCTCGTGTTGTACCAGTCAGTCGCTTACTGTAGCTTTCGACCCTCTGAGTGTCATAATACGAATCAGCGCAAAATCCAATACTTTGCGCCTCAACCCGCCACTTTTCCACCAAAGTCGCAAGCAATTGCAATGGCGGAACAGAGCTTGTGCTTGTCGTAGAAGCATATGTCGCTGTAGAAGAAGAAGACGTCGCTGCTTGTTCAACATCGATGTCAATCTTTGCTAAGCTAGTACTCGTCGCTTCGGGAGATCCCTTCCAGTGTTTGTCTAAAGCCTCTTCCACTCTGGCTATGCGCTCAGGTCCTAGCTTTACCTTCCGTTTCTTCCGCAAATAGAACAGCACTGTGTTCGCATCAGTGAGCAGATCTGCGGGAAACGAGGCGGCTATCGTCCGGTCCTTCCCAAACAGGTTCTTGGCGACCCAAGGCTTCAGGCGTACGGCTTTTGGTGTCTCGTGTTTTACTGGCCCATTTCCGCTGAAGGTGAGATTAGGGCCAGAGGAAGAAGAGGACGGCGATGGCCCACAATTCTCGTTCCCTTGCTTCCGCGGTAAAGAGGAACTTTGCCCCTTTTCGTGCCGTTGTTGCGGTGATGACAAGTCCGTGTCCTGCTTGGGCGAAACAGAAGTAGGAACGGCGGAGACAGACATTTTTTCTCAAGTCACAGCTTAAAGAAATTTCTTTAGATTAGGTTAGGTGTGGGCCTACCAGGAAAGCTGGCAGACATGAATGGCTGCTGAAGAGCCGAAAACAAAACTACGTCCTAGAGCTGGTAGCGCTACGCTAAGTCCTGGAGAAGTCCTAGATAAGTTTCTTTCCAAAGAGAAGTACAATGGACGAATTCACAGTACAGTGAACCACTCGTAGGTGGGTGTGTAACATTCTTAAGCAATCAACTTCATACCAACATGAAGAAGAAAATTTAGATTATTTAGATTATTTAGATTTCATACCCAACGTTGGGAAAGGAGGTATCCATAAAAACAGTCGCTGGTGTCGCTGAAAAATGCGTGTGAAAGTCAGACTGCAACAAGAAGATCCAAAAATGCTTTCAAAAAAGATCCAACGTTGTTTGTAAGGGAGATCGATAGAAAAACTAAAGGATCAGGATCTAGTTTCAGTGAGTCCCGACTGGTGTTCTCTGCCCAGTCACTGCAGAATCCCGTTTTTTGGCAGTGGGAGGCCTGTTTAGTGAAGGTCCTGTTTAGTGAAGGTTACAAGGAGATTACAATTCTCTCAAGTTCAGTTCGATTCCCAATTTATTCTTGCAGCTTAAAAAGTGATTCTTGGAATGTTGTAAAACGGGATTCAATGCGGAAATATTCGGGGAGAAACACTGTGCGGAAAGTATTAAGCAGTGTGATTTCAAGGAATCATGAATCAGGATCGATCTCATAGTACCTGATTTTGGAATAGACTAAGTACAAAAGACAACGTAGAAAAGGATTCATATGATCAACATTGCACAAGTGGAACACCAAACAACATCTTAAGTGTAATCAACAAAAACAAAGACCTATCCTCTGCTGTAGACCTAGCCAGGAAGAACCCACAACCCCTAAAAGGCTTCGCCCGCACCAAATCAACATCAGATCAACCCTGGTATTGGTGTTTCGCCCCCAAGCCTTCCTACACCTATTTCACCGTCGGCTTCTGTTACAAGCCATTCTGCACCGTCACCGCCAACATGAAGAACATCAAGATCTCCTACTTGAGCGCCATGTGTACTTGTTTAGCGCCAACATCAAGAACACCTCCTCCTACTTGAGCGCCATCTGGTTGATTCCGCCATGATCTTCTGTTCCTACTTAAGCGCCATCTGGTTGATTCCGAAGTACTTGTAAGCTCTCGGTTCCTTCATGTCCACACGCACTGCCTTGATGTTGCGCGGCCGATCGAACATAAGGACCTCCTCAAAACTCTCGTCTGGACTAGCCGTCTTCGTCCAGCACATACTATCCGAAAAATGCTTCCCATCCCCTGATACGCGGACGCGAACCTGCAGTGTCAATCATTACAAAAGTTGAAAAAGTGTGATCTAGTTTTGGTGGAGAATGATTCTTTAGACGGAAATGTTTTAGACCACGTATGCTGACGAGCGTACTTAGATAGTTAAGGATGTTGTTCTTGACACAAAGGAAAATGATGATCGAGGCAGAGTTGTCTAAACTTAAAAGTAGTCACAACAGATACCATCCCCGGCGCATATGCCCAATTCACGCGCACCCCGTTGGCACGGTGACGGTGTCTCAAAGAAGCTTGCATACTGACGATTTCGTCCCTAGTGTGCTGCCCATCAGAAACCCAGTAGCCGCCACCAGGATCTAACGCCCTCTTCGCGCCAAACATCGGATTGTTCCCGTTTTCGTACGTACTACTGGCCTCAGCATCTGTGAAAGGCTTGTTGAAGCGTAAGAAGGACGTTATTTTTGTCGTGTTCTTTAAGGTTACAGCTGTAGTGTTCAAGAAGGAAGTGGAAGAGGATGTCCCCGAAGAATAATGTCCGCCAGGTGTAGGATCGTGGTAATCAGCGTGGTTGATCCTTCTCAAAGTGCTGCTACTGGCACAAGAGCAGGTTCCAGTCCCTGGTCCGAAGAGATGCTCAAACATGTCCGCGATCGCGGAGCAACGGTCCACGCCTGCAGCCCCTACGAGTGTCATGTTGTTTTAGTTGTTGGTAAGTATGGGGTATACAGGAGGAGAGTCTCCACGTGTTAGCTTTGACATGATGTTGATCCTCTGCAGTTGGGTTTGTCCAGAATATCATACTTACTCAGGGACCTCCTCTAATATTCAGAACGATGGATTGGATGATTGACATAGCAATGAAATGTCTGTAATCTTCAGCGAGAAATGTCGTATAGCTCACAACTCTCTCTCTCTCTTCAACAGTACGAGATTCACGATAGCAATCATAACATCACAAATCACAAAAGTACGAAAGAAAGCGTTCGGCGTATAACGGTCTTTCAAGGGTAGTAAAAATGCGACCATACTCGTCTTCTTGGAAACCAATAATTTCTTCTTCCAAACGAGAGCGACATCACAATCCATAACGATGAACCACTTATTGAAAAAATCTAAAATGGTAATGGTTGTAGCGAAAAGGTCTCAGTAACTCTACAAATCATCCTTCTTTCCCGAAAACGTGTTTCCTCCTGGCATCTTCAAAAGTGTCCGCGCAGAATCACCCATCATCGACTGGATGTCTTCTGCTGATATCTTCAATGCTAGAAGAGGTGGTAGTTCTTGCTGCTCTCCAGAAGTCGGGACATCGATCACATTGTTCCACTCGCTAAAAATCCCCACTGCGCGTTCGTAGTCGACTGCAGCGTGTGTTTGAGAGTGGCCGCCTGGCAAAATAAACGGAAAATCCGAACCCCACATCAGACGTTTCGCTCCCAACACGGAGAGCAACGACAGGACGCGTGGTCTCACGTCGTAATGCGGGAAGGGCAGTGGAGATTAGAAGCGGGTAAGGAGTAATATCTCACTTTTTTACTTAGTACATGATCATTCGTTTTCGTTCAATGTTATGCACTAAGTCAGTGAAATTTGCTTGTTAACAACTTCGAAGTGGATGAAAACATACTCGAATTAAATTGCAACGATACATCAGCGAGTGAAAGCAAGTCCATCTCATAATTCGAAACCCGAAAAAACGCCGACAATTTCACGAAAACTTGTTCCGGGAAGTCACGTCCCAATTGCAACAGCAGTTCAAACGCCTCTTCATCGTTCTTTGGAGATAGAGCGGTCATCAATTCCTTCGAGACTGCTTCTGCAATCGCAGGATTCGGATTTTGGGAGTTCGTCTGAGATAACAATTTGGTGGCCAAATCAGTCATCCACTTCGGTTTTTCTCCCGTACTAGCACCAGCTGCATTGCTGTCGACAGTGACATCATCAGCAACTCCCCCAGTAGCTGGCTGTCGGAAAAACCCAAAGTGGTCTATGATCAACGTTGTATCTGGTGCAGCTTTCAGCAGCGTACGCAATGCGGGAACATGTGGTTTTAAACCGGTAAATGCCATCACTCCGACAGCAAGTCCTTGGGTACCAGCTGGGTATTAGAGTAGTTCTTTCAAAAGTGAGTATGCCTAGTACTAGTACGACAAATCTAGTACACCAGCTTCCGCCTCCACGACCATGATAAACCACAAACTACTCGCCACAAGAACCATGATAAACCAAAGTCATAATCTTGAAAAAGCTTCAACGCAATTCCGCTTTCCAAGTTTCCATTTGGAAACAAGAAGGGATTGAAGCGAACCCCTCTATATCCACGCGAACGCATCTCTCGCATAGTCGAAACCTCCTCTTCCGTACTTTCAACTCCCTCAGCAGGCTTTAGACCCGTTGCTAGGTACATACCGAACAGATTCACGCTTGTTGCTCCTGGAACATCTTGCTCTGCGCCATTGCTAGCATTCTTTCCACCCGACGCATCGCCTCCATTCTTTCCACCCAATGTGCTAGCATATTGCTCCATATAAGTGTGATCGCTGCCGTAATTAGAGCTCACCACTAGAATCCATCCTGAGCCGCATCTTGGTGCTTCTTTATCCTTTCCTTATGGGACAGCTTCAAGATCAAGGTGTACTATCTGAAGGAGGAAGATTCGTGAAACAAGCCTTAACGTAAGGAGCCGGTTGAACAAGCAACGCGGCACTAACACCTGCTGCAGCTGCGTGTGCCTTGAACTGTGCAGCTGTGCCGATTTTCTGAGCCACCTCTGGAGGCGGGCCATTCTGGTACGGCCCTTCGTCTGACCAGATGTGCAAGTGGGAGTCAACTATGGAGGGATTAGAACCCTCGCTGTGGAAGTTAGTTGTATGCTTAGGTATTAAATAGAATCAAACATGGTTATATCATACAATCAAGCATGGTTATATATAATACATGGTTACTGTGGTTCGGACAATAATGATTTCCTTCGTTTCTGTTGTCCAGAGTCACGAGTTATGCATAAAATGGAATTCCCAAAGACATACACTATCCAACCAATCCATAAACATCTTCTTCACCGGAGACGCTGGTCCAGCCACCACTGCCTTGGGCCCACCGCCTAGTGCTAGTTGTACGACCACACAAGAAATGAAATTGCAGATTTTGGGTCTAAACCGATAAAGCCGCGAAGCGAAAATGGCCGGAACTGGCACTAGCATCAGAGAGCTGGAGACTCCTAGAATCATGTTTTTTTGAGACTACGATGCGTAAAATCTAAGACTCATCTTGGCTTCTCACAACATCTTTTGCGTTTCATTTTCGTCAACACGCGTCAGGTATCATCAGCGGGATCTACTCCTATTCTGATCAATCTCCACTGATACCTCGGTCTATGAAAGAACCACCTCAAAAGAACCTGCAGTGAGTCAATGAGCAAGTGACGTTTCTAGATGACGTGTCCGTGATTTTGCCTGACGAAGGCATGAGACAGAAATTCATTCCCACACAGTGCGCCGCCTACAGGCTTATCATTCTTAAGATCAAAAGTGGTAATGTCACTATGCAGCCTCTGCAACATGGAATAGGACGATTTTAGCCATACGGCGCGCGCAATTTCATCTTTGTCAAAGAACTATTTGTTGTATGTCTTTCAATGTGATGATCAGTCATTCTTTCAATGTGATAAGTCAACTTTTCACCCCCAACTCCTTCATCACTTCGTCGAAAGACAGTCAACTTTTCACCCCCAACTCCTTCATCACTTCGTCGAAAGACACTCTATTTCCTTCGCGTGGCCTTAGCATCGGAATTCCCGCTCTCGGTCCTAGCTCTGTCACGCTGTGTCCGGCAACCGCTGAGGCGAATGTGAGCATCTGTTCGATGCTCCAGTCCTGTGTGTAAGCGAAACAAAGTGCCCCATTGAAACAATCACCGGCTCCGGTGGTGTCGATTACGGTTAAGTCGGTGCCATTCTCCTTGCCGTTCTTGGATGCGCCGACAGTTCTTGGTAATACAGCTGGCACATGGAAAGTAGTAAAATCGTCTCTCATCTTCTTGTTGCGATAACGGCAGACTGATCCATGTGCGCCCAAAGTGACCACTGCAAATTCCAGACAGGACGATGCATACTTTGACGCAAACAATGTTTCCAATTCCGCCTCTGCTTTCCGTATCTTCGCGTCCCCCGTTTCTTCTCTAGTTACGCTGTTATCTTGCTGGTCGTGCTTCTTACTAGCATCGTCTGTCGGAGGAAGCAAAATCGAAAAAAAGACTTCCGAACAGCAAATCACGGTGCAATACGGCAGCATCAGCGCTGTTTCCTTGCCGCGTAACCGCTCGCAATCCATCAAAACTGGCATGTTCTTCAAACGCTCATCTTCCGCAGCGCGTAGTGAGCGAAGCAACTCCAAAACTGTGTCCTCAAAGCGTCCATCTAGGAACAACACTTTTATCTGCTCTAAAAAAGCTTTTGGCGGCATGCGCAGCTCTCTGGGCACTTGTGGCGTGTGGAAAATAGTCCGACTTCTGGTGGCTTCGTCCATGATGATGTAGCTGCTGCCTGGACGAGGCTCAATAACACCTTCACCTTTGACAACAGGCCGATACTCGTCTGCGAAATCAAGACAAACGTCCTCCGATCGTAAACCCTGGATCACCATGTTGCCTTCACCGGATGCATCGTCAGGAAAAATTGGGGCGACAAGCTGCACACAAGATGAAGACTGAGCATTTCCTCCTCCAACTTCTCCAACACCATTTCCGGATCGACGCAAGCCCAGCCGCGCCAACGCCACAGCAGCTGTCGCGCCATTGCCACCTCCAAAGAAGTGGCGGTCTTTCGTCACATTTTTCGTATCCACGGATGGATATTTCTCTACCACCACGACAGTGTCGAGGCAAGCAAGCCCTATGACGCCGACCGTTGTCATTTCTTGCAAATTACAGGACGCTCATACTCGTCTCACATTGTGTCCTCTCGGTACAGTATCTTCGTCTCAGCAGAGCAGCTTAACAGAATGTCACTTGATATTGAAAACAAATGTTTTTTCTCAAAACGCGTTTGAATAAAACGCATTCCGCCCTTAGTCCGTTGCACACCAGAGGAAGGCACGGCAGGACCCCTTGCAAAATCGTTGTGGAGGATCGATACATTGCGCGTAGAAATTTCAACCTATAGTTCAAATGGTGGTCAAGGTGGGATGCACCTTTCACTCAGTTCATAGGTCAAAGTTTGTTGTGGTTGTCAAGAAAATGTCGTCAGATGTCGTAGTGTCAAAACCGAAGCGAACCCACATGTTGCGGTTACCCCATAATTGATACTCCGCTGTCGCCGTAGCAGAACCTGTTACTTCGCGATTTACCGTAGATAACTAGCACTAGCGTAGCAAGCAGCTGCCTCCCTCATATAGCGCGACCCTCTAATGCAGCAACTGCCGCACGTGATGCGGGATCAGATGGAGTGGCTGAGTTTGGCAGTACTCCTTCAAGTGCTGTTTCCACTCAGGGAACGTCGCCATCAGATCCTCCAACTGGTGTAACGGCAACATGCTCAACACTTTTGCTGGAATTCTTTGATCCGGCATTTTCTCAAAACTGATCTTCAACGAGAATTTGAGTCCTTCCGTCAAACCAGCTCGGCTGTTTCTTCGCTCGGCGAACAGGACTGGTTTTTTGACTAGCCTCGGCAGAATCTCGCTCGTGATGAAGTCGTTGAAGAACTCGCTGTGCTTCTGGAGCTGGATCAGGGTTCGGAAGATGAGAGTCGGCATCGGGGCTTCCTCTTCCTCCTCCGCTAGAGACTGGATTGCGAACACGTACTTCTCAGGCTCCAGCTCGTTCAACTCTAGCAGTTCGAATATCGAATTCAAAGCATGGATACTCCTGGCCGTTTGGACCATGTCGCCGTCGGTGGTGTTGAAGTGGTGGATTTCGGAAATCAACTCTGGAATAGCCAACACTTCCGCCATCTGACCCTCGCCTAACAACTCCGCATGATTCGCCGTCCGCACCAAATGCCTTGTGGTCCACTTCACCTCCTCAAGTGTGACAGTCTGAGAATTCAGGATCGCAGCTAAATACCGTACGCAGTCGGCTCTTGAGACTAGAGGCAGCACTGGAATCAGGATTTTCGCGTTCCCAAGGGATTCGTGTTTCGCGACAGGGATTAGACGAAAATGATGTAGAGGTTTGCAGGTTTCAAAATGACTTATCTTAATAATGGAAAAATCATGAGTCAGAACTCGCATCTATAAGAAGGAATCTGGATCTTCTTCATCCATCTATGCTAACAAACGGGAATACACAGTATTATGATGTCACTATGTATCTATAAGTACTCAACAACAACAACATGATCATGATTCTAGCCATTCCATAAAACTACATCCCGAAAATTTAGTGGCAAATTCGGTGTCATCTGCTTTCTCGCCTCATCGTTCTCCAAGGCTGCATAGGCATCTAGGATTTCTTGGAGTAGAATCCTGAGCATCTTGCCAATCAAGTCTAAGCTTGCGACGCGTTGCGTCTCTTCGATGACCCTGAGTAGTTCGTTTCCCTGCTCCGACACAGGGCTAATATGCTTCAAAGCCTCGTGGATGTGCTCCAATAAGGTTTTTTCGGACTTAGAAAGTAGAATTGTAGAGCGCTGTGGCGTACAGACATTGTCAGATAATTCATCGGCTCAGCCAAACTTCTACTTGTTCATTTTCCAACCATAATTACAGACATCGTCAGATAATTCATCGGCTCAGCCAAACTTCTACTTGTTCATTTTCCAACCATAATGATGATCTCCAGATTCCCGCTAGCCTGTTCCGCAATAGCGTACACCTCTAATAATTGCGTCAACAACGATGGTCTCTTGATCGACATTGCCAAAAAGAGCCAAAATCTCGACTCTTCCGGTACTACGTGTTCATGGTGCGTTATCTCCTCGTAGATCTGCCTGATATAGCCACTAGGTTCGATCGGCACGTCAAATCGTTGATATCGAACCATCGACCGGAGCATCAGAGTCGCCATGTCCTCTAAATCTCTCGATCGGAGAGCGTCTAGCGAAATGACGTAACCCTCCTTATTTGAGTTGTTGTTGGAAGACGTGGTCGATCTGGTCAACATCGAACCGTCGCTCGTTCGCTTCAACATGCCAGCACCACTCGACCGGGATGTGGAACTTGTGGCTGGCGGCTGATAGACCTTCGCAGCCAAAAAGCGAATCGCGGTTTGCGACGTAGAGTCGTCTGAAATCGACGAGCTGATCACTGGACCCCCATCCGGGGAATTCTGCGTGTACGCCATCTTGAACAGCAAGCGCATCGCTTGTGCTCTTGACTGCGGAAACTTCTCGGCCACATAAAAGCACGTAATCAAAGCCTGTTTCCTCGGCATGCCCTCCACGTGGCACTGGTTCTCCAACTTGCCAAATAGGCTTTCTGGCAAGTAGGGCAGCGACCCTAGAAATTCTCGTAATTCCTTCTTCGTTACTCCGCCAAATTTGGTCGTGTACACGCGCAGAAACAGCTGAAACAGCTTGCCGTAGGTGAATTCGCTGTCCTGCACCGACTCTAGCATGTTCCGCAGACTGCGCATATTCGCTCCTTGCTTCGCATCCATCCTCCTCTGCACTGTGGAACTGTATTTCGCGAAAAACAGAGGCAGAATATCCTGTTGCCACGTCTCGTTGTTCTTCCCCGATAACGCTTTACCAATGGCCTTGCCGTAAAAGACCTCCTCTAACAGCGGGTCCTCCACGAAGCTGGCCAAATGGGAGATGACACGGTTATTCACGGCATCAAATTGTCTTAGAGACGTATCTGCTAAGCAGGACGCTTGCAGAGAGTTCTGCATGCGCGATTTGGCTGCTAAAACCTCTCCAAAAACCATCTGTTGTAAGCTTTGAATCTCACTAGATGCAGCGCTACCCTCGAATTTGCTGACCTGTTCGTTGTGTGGATGAGAGAGGTAGTTTCTTGTAGTCATTCGTGATGATGAGGTGATGAAACCTATTTCATGAATCTACTCAGATTGATACTGGACTAGAAATGAATAAAACCGTATAACAATGAAAAAACATCAACAATAGATTCAGGACAACCCCTCTCTCTCTCTCTCTCTCAGAAATGAACTAAGTACCGCTGTATCGAGATATTGCTCTTTCGTTGAGTCTTTAATTTTCTGCCTCTTCCTTGCCCTAGGATCTACTACTTCGCCACCTTCTTCGTCAAGAAAGCTCTCGGGTGTGATCAGCTTCCTCTCTATGCCAACACTTGTTCCTGGCTTCCCACCTGCACCTCCTTTACCACCACCTGCTGCGGCAGCTGCCGCAGTCAAATCCTTAGTCGCTCTAAGGGATCCGCTATCAGCAAAATTCTTCGCACTGTCCAGCTGCTTCTCAATACCAGAAACGCAAATTCGGGCGGCATCGAGTATTAGAAGATAGGCATCAATCACAAAATGCCAGTGATGTAGATGTACAAAGCTCTAAGATTCATTATAGTTGTATCGAGACATACTTATGAAGATGTGCATACCTTTTATCTACCATCGAGACGAACAAGGTCTTAGTAAAAGTAAGACCTTAGTAAAAGTAAGACCTTAGTAAAAGTTAACTAATGACATAACTTCGGATTCAAGCGCAGGGTCATCAGCGTGTACGGCTCCACATACTTGCTCTGGTCCGCCTCTACCAGCTCCGAGGCGCTAACTACTTGTTCTGTGCCGAGTAACGTGTCTCCGTCAAATGGGAGGTCTAACGTCTCCTTGACCAGCTTGTTGATCTTCTCCTCAGCCCTCGCACGCAATTGATCTTGTCTAGCAACCGCAATCAGGTTCTCCATCGGAAGAGCTGAGTAGTGGAGAAGATGCTGGGTCAAAGATAAAAAAGGCAACGATTCCAAGGTGGCAGCTCGCGTCGACCACCCTAATTACCCACAATGTCAACAAAAATCCCAGCAAAAGATTAATCAATCATTAATAAGCTGTCAACTCCAACCGGGCATCAATTCAAAGAATCCAAGTTAAAAACCACTTTTGATTATTAAAGAAAAAGGTAGTAAGAAAGAAGAATCGAAGGACGAACTAACTTGAACAACCCAGTTAAAAGAATAGAAATACTCAACAACATCGATAACTTGAACAACCCAAAAGACTTGAACCCAAAAGCGAACTAACTTGAACAACCCAAAAGACTTGAACAACCCAAAAGACTTGAACCCAAAAACGAACTAACTTGAACAACCCAAAAGACTTGAACAACCCAAAAGACTTGAACAACCCAAAAGACCACTTGAACAACCCAAAAGACTTGAACAACCCAAAAGACCACTTGAACAACCCAAAAGACTTGAACAACCCAAAAAACTAACACAAGTACCCGCACTACTCGGATCGATTTTCTTTAGCACGTGGACACACGTCGCGTGATAATCTCCATCCAAGGCACAGGCTAAGAATGAGCGGATGTGGAAGGACAAGAGTGTGTCAAGCCAAGGATCGTGGTTGGCATAGCGCTGGAAAACTTCGAGAATTTTCGTCAGGGTTTGCGGTCTGTACCGTCCAATTATCGACAAAGCCTCGAGAAGCGAAACGATATGGTCTGGATCCTTGTTCAGCTGCTGAGAGCCGATGATTAGAGATCCTTTGGTGCCGTCCTTTGCGTATCTATTGCTTGAGAGCAGTGGAAACTCCCTTCTGAATAGTACAGTGACGACGAGTTTAGACAAATTATCATCCCCTTGTGCTTGAAGTTTCATCACGCTGAAAAAACAACTACTTAGAAAACAGTATGATGATGGTGTTGTTAGTCGATTCGGACTTAGAAAACAGTGGTATATCTTCCTTTTTATAGTTCATGCTTCTAAAAAATTAGTGAAATCGTTGTCATAAGATGAGACTCGCATCCAAGAGCGAGATGAGATCTTGTAGCCGTTGTCCTGCTTTGTCTGTCAAGGTGGCTGGCGGCAAAAACTCGTTAGCACCGATGTCCTCGATACTCGCAACACCCCGTTGCTCTACTGCGATCGATGGACGGACGAATACGGCACTGAGGGGTGTTTAGAAATGTACTTGAGAGATGAAATGTAGTAGACAGAGGTGAAAGGATGCGACAATGATCATCATCATTTCTCAGAGTGTATTAAAGACTATTCGACATCGACTTCTATAGACGAGCTAGTAACAGCACGTACTCAAGCCATCTCACTCCGTAGTACCTGCTTGTCGTGATAATGATCTGGTGGGCAACGAAGAGACAGGCTTGGTGAAACGGCGTATTCTGGATCCGCGTTGACTCCTCATTATTAGCGTTTTCTACGTTATACTGCAGAATATGCCATATCCTTTCCTGCAATTGCGACAAAGCCTGACAAGCCGCTTCCACATTACTGCTTTGTGCAGTAGACGCTTTGGCTGTGGTGTTTGTTGCGTGATGAAAACGGCAATGACAGACTTTAAAATATTTCGCACGAATGTTGTGATTGCAACTGCTGCACACCTTTTCTAAGGTAAAAACCAAAAGTCAAACCACGGAGTGAGTGTTCAAAAATGCTCTGCTTCTATGATAAAGCATCAATTGGGAGGAAGAATTGGCATACTAGTTCTTTACTTCTTTCTACGAGTACCAATCAGCAATAATGCTCTGCTTTGCAGGGCCCTAGCACTTTGGATCACGATTTGTCTTGTCAGGCTATCCGGATCCTCCAACAAGGTGATGCAAGCTGGCACACATCTCAACGCCATCTTGCTTTTGCGCAGAGCCACTTGCTCCAGGAAATAGGCGAGATATCTTCGCAAAGGCGCTGGCCTACTCTCTTGGTGTCGCAAGGTCAGGAAATTCTGCAACACGGATTCGATGCAGCGGTAAGAAGGATCGTCAGTGAGCACGTACTTCTCAATCTTCATCAAGATCGCCAGTTTTTCCTTCGTCTCAGGACACTCATCTAGCGCGCGGAACGCCTGTTCGGACTTCCGTAACGCCTCAATCGTCGCCATCTTGAAGTCGTCGTCAAAAAGTGGAACAGGGCGTCGTCGTCGGGAATAAGGATGTCGTCGTCAGGGAAAGGGCAATGTCGTCGTCAAAAAGTGGAACAGGGTGGCGTCGCCAGATTTGAATTAAGGTGTTGTCGTCAGATTTGAACAGACGAAACAGATTCGTGGAAATCCTCGTCTTGCTGCACCGTCTAGCTCTCACTAGAGTAGACTCAGGGAACAGAAGGTGGTCGTAGCATCGTCATTTTCATATTTTGCTCGTACTAATGTAAATACTACATAATTACGTTCTAGCCGTAGTCTTCAGGTAATAGTCAGTACTAGATTACTCACCCAGTAACAAACCGACGTCCACCCAAACGCTGATTACATTTTTCACCAATTTCTCCGTTTCTCACAAAATGAAACAAGTCATGAGGAAGTAGACACGCCTGTAGAAAGAGGGTCGAATTGAAAAAGTCAAATCTTTAACAAGCCAAAATCACAAGATAACTACTCAATACCACAAAAACTGAGAATGGCGTCAACCAATGGACTCAGAGAGTTGAAAGATTCGCACTTCACAGCAGACCACACCAGAACGTTAACACGCTCTTTAGACTTGTTGTTCGCAGTAGTTTTCTAAGCAGATGTTCATATTCAAAACCGACTACTTCCAGCTACAATTACAAACGCACGTTGTTTACATGGATCCTTTAACAGCAGTCACTTCGCGAGTGATCAAGCTTCCAAGTACATCATGCTTTGTAGTTATCGTGGATCCTTTTCGTTGATATTGCTCTTGTGGTTGTCGCGCTACCTATTGATTTTCGTGAATCCATACAACCGACCATGAACACATTTTTTTTCCTTTTCAAGACGAAAGATAGGCTTCGAAGTGCCACAAAGATGTCACTTCACAGTCAAACCTGTATTAAGGCGAAAAGGTTCTGCCCTAGAGATTTGAGGCGAAAAGGTTCTGCTCTAGATATAATTCATGATCATATCCTACTGTCATCTGTGAGTGGCCCCGTATTCTCCTCTGCTAGTAGAGGCATTATCGGTGCATTTGTGCTCACAGATCGTGTTTCACTTATACGAGAGACTGTACTTGTACTCCGTATTGGTGCATATGAGTGGCCACTCGACGATCGACGTTCGTTTCCCCAACCACGAGACAATAGTGAGCTCACGGAAGGGAACAAACCTATTCCGCTAGCACGCTCTCCTATTCCGCTGATGCGTCCTCCCACAGAGGCACTGCTGCTACGTCCTCCTAGTTCACTGCCACGGCCAGCTGTTCTTATTGCGCTGCTTCGTCCTCCCATGGCACCGCTACTGCGTCCTGCGTCTTGTGTAGACACTCTGCTCGAAGAAGATGCTGTAATTCTAGACGCTGGATCATCGAATTTCAAGAAACTAGGTCGCTCAAAGACTGACGTTGACCTTCGGGCTTCAGATAAAACGGACATTCTGGAACTTCGTGCGGCCATATTGTACGATGAAGTCGCAGACATTCGAGCATTTGTGCTCGACGACAACCTAGCATTGCTACTCGAGGACAACCTTGCATCCCCTACAAACGTTGCTGCAGTACTCGATGCAGAGCTTGGTCTGCAAGATGACAACCGCGTTGTCACCTCCGTCGCGCGCGCCGCTGCGCTATCTCGAGCACCTCCCGAAAAAACTGAGCTACTACTGCTACGCCAACTTCCCCACGTGGAGCTACTTCCCGACTCTCCACTTCCACCTGGATAGCTAGAAGGCAGTCGCATCCTCGAAGCTGCAGTGTACGACCACTTATTATGCGTTGAAGTTGACCTTGAATCTCCTTCTCCTTCAAGTAAAGACGGAAGTAAAGGTGGTCGATAGGCTTCCACCAGTGCTAAGAGAAACTCCCCAGATGCGAGTTCCGATCGCTGGTACACCGATCTAGAGGACCAGGTGTGGGATAGGGTTCCTGCTGTCGTCGAAAGCGTGTCATCGTGTAAGGCTGAAGAAGAGTTGTCTACTACAACCGCGTTTAGTTCCTTCTCCTCTTCTATTTGGAAGGGTTCTGCCTTTATTCCTTGATACATCAATCTATGTTGACCTCTATTGCAAGACTGGCCAAATCCTTCTTCTGTACTACTAGCTGTAGTCTCGTCAAAGCATGCGCGACAACCGTGTGACACAACGCGCATGACGGAAAGAATGGGAGTACAGAAAAGCTTCCCGATTGTACTAGACACGAAGATGTTTGTCGCACCACGACCAGTAGAGAGAAAATTTACTCCTGCAGAGGACCTTCGTTCTGCTGCAGCGACGAGTAAAAACCACACAGCTCCAACTCCTAGCCACCACAAACTATAGCGCGATGGACTATGATCCCTCGAAGACCACTCGTTCGCACTAGAAGTAGTCAGTTCGGTCTGCTCACAGAAGAGCCACATCTGCAGTAGTAAAGCAAGTGGCAGGGCAACCATGGCCAACAGAAATCTAGCTAGTTTCTCCAGTCGCGCGCCGTCGAACTGCACGAATCGACTGACATGAAATACTACCAAGTACTTCTCAGCTAGGAAATGTGAGACGAGATGTAAACCTGCTAAGAGAAGCAACCCAGGTTGCGAAGCGGAAAGAGCCAATGTCAGGGTCGTTACTGCGAGGGTATGCGCATAGTTGCGGCCACCCTCAAACTCCTCACTCTCCACTAGGTCAGCTGCGTCGTCCTTCTTTGCCATTTTGGCGGAGGGAAATGCAGCGGAAAAGAGAGGACCTCCGTTCTCATTATAGACACAACTGCCAGTAGCTGCAAAAGAAATTGAAGACCCGGCCGCACCTCCTCCAGCATACTGATAATTAGTACCAGCTTCGAACTCATCCGAAACTACAGCACTGGGCTTCGGTTCGTGTCTGCACGCTTTGCGCTCTAACGCATGAAAGAACCGTTCTCGTGTCGTTAAGAGCAAGGCAGAGAAACGACCACTGAGGGACGAACTACACCTTCTGCTGTCACGATCACATTGTCGACCACGATCCGGGAAACAGGAGCCTTCACATGTATCCTGGACATCGCTCGCTGGCGGTCGCAGCACCACCTGAACCAAAGGCGTCACAAACGTTGCCGTTATCAGATACCTCAACAAAAATTGATGCACACCTTCAAAGTGCTGTTCCTCTTTCTTTATCTCAATGTGAGACCCGTCCAACAGATCCCGGAAACTTTGGGCGCCAGTCACCGGAAAGAGCCCAAAAAGAACGAGGTACGCGAGAAAATGGAGTAGCAGAACGCTCCTTTCCCTGGTTTCCCTCGAAAAAGGACGCTGCGCATGAGCCGCCAAAGCCCACATTGCTTGAGGGAGAACCGTAAAGTTTACGAAATTGAGCAAACAAAAGGGGGCTGCGGCACAAGCACCGTCCCACAAGAACGCGAAAATCTCATGTGCCGATGATGGAATCGTCGTTCTATATGTCCCTGTGCTAGTGCCTTGAGATTGAGTTGGACCATTTCCTTGATCATCGCTACGAAGATAATCCGCTGAAGATTGTTGATCCTGTGCAACAGAGGCGGTCTGTGGGTCTCCTGAACGTTGCTGTCGTTCTACTCTTGCTGTCGTTCTACTCGTATAGTCATCTTCTCCCAACATCTGTTTCCCAACCGCAGAAGTACGTAAAAATGCTACAACTGCCTCCACCGCACTTCCAAAAACTCTAGGTGTCGCAACCAAACAGAACAGGAATAGAAGCACGAAGAGAGACACCGCTAACCGGAAGCGGCCTGTTCTAGAAGAAACGTGGATGTTTTCCCATACTATGTCGTCTGGAACTGGTGCTGGAATAACATGAGAAACATGGACACGGACTTGTCCGTCATGATCGCGAGTATTTCCTACCCCATCAAGATCTTCAGGGGCAGCCTCGTTATGAGCGCGATCCGCTACACGATCCTTCGTTCTACTGTGAACCCCCGGCGAGTCCTGTAAAAGCACTCTTGCGGCAGTCGCTCGGTCAAAGAAACTGACGAATGCCACCACTGCGAGATCTCCACTACCAGTGTCACAGCCTGTTATAGGATAGTCGAATGCAGTCAACTGCGAATTCTGCGAGTCAGCAAGTCCTCCAACTCCATTCTCCAACGCGCTTTCAACTTCCTCCTCTGGCACAGGTACTACATGAACAGAAGCCACACCGCCAGAGCCGGCCGTTCGATCCTCAAAGTAGTCACGAATAAGTTCTGCTATACTTGTGCTGTCGGAAGGAGAAGAAGAAGATCCTGTATAATTGTTGTAGTAAGTCCCATTTTCACGACCTCTTCGCCTTATTCGTAATGCCGCTAAAACCGTGTGCTCCGCACAAAGGCCAGAAGCAGTACACGCACGTGATCTCGCGAGAATGGAAGAAGGACCGCTCACTTCGTCATCTCGCTCCTGCCTATTGGAGATGCAGGTGAGCCTTTCAAAGTCGACTGATGAATCACCTTGAAGTTCCACGTTCGAAATCGAACAGTTATTGTAATCCCCGAAGCCGTCCGCTATTGCTCCTCCCGTACTGCTAGTCGCAAACAGAAACAGCGCAACTAAAACCGTGTTCAGCAAAGCCGTAGCTGCAATCGTTTCTGGGCTAGCGCCATAGCACCGAACTAGCGTTGTCGCGCCACACCAACTGGCCAGTGCAACGACCGCTAAACCCTGTGTGAACTGCAAGTATCGTCGATGCGCACCCTCTGACACCTCCCTCAGGAATAGCAGGACGCTGAGAATCGATAATGGCCTGGTGATCGTCGCACGGAGCTGATCGTAGCGATTCGCTGTACGGCGATCGTCGTCGCCGCGCCACAAACGGATGCTGAAAAAGGCGATCACCAAAAAAACGAAAGCCACAAAGTGAATAGCGCAATACGCGAGAAGGGATAACATGTTCTCTGTTTACAACTCTTGCAGTTTAGGTCTTTCACCGTCTTCGCTTTGGATCCAATTACGAATCCAAACTGTTTTTCTGACATCCTAGCCCAGCCTCAGTAGTGTGATCGAACGTTTGAGTCTGAACAGCGACAAAAAACCTCGCCCAACAAGCGCCAAAATGCACCTTCTTTCCTAAACTCACATGAGACGAACCTAGTAGTCCTCTTCCTATCGTTTGTAAATTTCTCACTAGATGTTGCGCTTTTTGTTTTCAAGAAAATCGGCATGATCAAGTGTCACCCAAAACGTAGCCACGTCCAGTAAAGACGTGTCCCGATTCACCTACTGGATTTGCTGCATTCGCATCTCTCGACGACCCACCCCCTGGATCTCCTGGTCCTGCTGTGTCACTGCCCCCACCTGTTTGATGACGCCCCCCGTCTCCTCCACCCCATGTGTTCATTTCTATCTCGTCTCCTGCTCTACTTGTCCTCCCGCTGCCTTCACCTGGATTGGCACTGCTTGATGTTGGCTCCGAACCACCGCCAATGTGTGGCTGCTGCTGCCGCTGCTGCTGCAGCAATTGCGCTTCTTGAGGGAATCGTCCTGCATGGCCAACTTCTGCATGACCACTCCCACTTCTTCTTGACGGTGATGAAGGCGCAGAACCACCACCCACGTCTCTGGCTGGACCTGTGGGTTGCTGCAAGTAGAATATCGATGGATCGCTTTGATCTACAAACGCGTGTCGGTTGTTCACGAGTTGTTAGAGCTTTCCCAAATTTCCTACGCCGAGTAGGAATGATCCCTTAGTGTAATGACCTCCCTTCAAGGGCCTTGTAGTGTATCTGCATACAAGATGATAGTACGGTTGTTGAGGGATCCTCCTTATAGAAGCAAGAGGTGCATTAGAGCAAGCCTTAAAGTTGAGTCGCAACACGGGCGAGACCTTCCGCATCCGGTGTGCCTCTTCGACGCTGCACCTCGACAAAAAATTTGAAAAACACCGTCAAGAATGTTCCCGCGCCACCTTCGTAGAAGTACAGGTAGACAGGAAAATTAGTATCTCCAGTGACCGCTGGCTCTGTTGATTGGACTAAGAGCTCCAGATAATTACATCCGAATATGGGCTGCTGGAATTCCTGCTTCAAAATCGCCTCGAGGGGGATCTGAGAAAGACGGATTCTAAAGGTCTTTTTGTAGGAGTAGGATAAAATCAAGAACTAAGATGAGGAGCTAGTGAGTCTGTTGACATAAAAAGCGAGCACGTCAACTCAAACGAATTAGGTGCCAAGAAAAGCTTCGTTCAGTATGAAGTTTTACGGAGTGAAAAGTACAATTGATCACAAAGTCTATTTGTTCCTAGTAAAAGTGAATGTCATCACCTCAAAACTCGCAAAATCTTCTTTCAATAGACCTCAAAACTCCCAAAATCTTCTTTCAATACCTCAAAACTCCCAAAATCTTCTTTATTTTTGTCTCTTTGAGCGACAAAGACGAATCGTTGAGAGGAAAGCATGAATAATCCCGTTGCTTTACAAACGGCTTTTCGACTGCCGCTCTGGAAAGAAGTTAGACTTTTATTTTGGTCACTGGCTACGAATGACTTTCATGATGATGTTAGTCGGTTCGGAATGACTTTCATATTTTAGTCACTGAATCACGCTAGTGATGAACATGTGTTGAAGAACGTGTTGTACTACCCATTTGGCCATAAATAAATGTTCTAGCAATAAGGCATAACGTGTTGTACTAACAATAAGCCATAAATAAATGTTCTCACGCTTCAAAATGAAAACCTCGCCAGGTCTCGGTAAGGGAAATAACTCCCGCGTCACTTGATCTTCAGCTAGCGTCGGATTAATTGTCATTTTTTCGTACCGTACTTAAGTAATCACTGTGAAGAATGCATGCACGCTTCAATACGTTACAACCGATTCTCTTCCTGCTCCTCTTTTTCGGTTTCTCTAGGTTAAATCGTGTATTCAAACTTACTTTATTCACCCGCGTAAGTACGCATTTCCTTTCATATTCACTCAGTGAATGCGCACTCTTAATGTAAAAGTGTCTCTTTTTAGCCTACAATATGATTTGAAGACCGCTGCAACAGTTCGTCGTGAGATGCGGATCTCCCTGGACTCGAACACTTTTCAGCTTCGCAACTTTTCAGGCGAGGGCGAGGACTTGTTCCCCTTCGCAGTATGTTCATATTTTCATTATATGTTCCCAAAACGCCAAAAAGAGCAAGCTTTTCATCATTACACCAGTTCTCTACGACCACGTCGAGAAACACCTACTTCCATGCTCTATCATCTAGTTCTTCTCTGCTCAGTCCCTTCTTCTACAAGAAACATTCGACTTCGTTTTTGATTCAGTTTCTTCAATCACCAAAACGCCAAAATATCTCAAAATTACATTCCATCGTTATAAGCAAGACAATCGTAGAAAATCCTGAACAAGTCTGCTTTCTTCGTGAAAGTTTTTTAGTCAAATCATGCGCTTGCTTCACGTCGTTTTCTTCATCCTTGAATACTTCATCCGATAAGTAAAAATTGCCCATTTACCCACTCACTGGTTAACAAAAAAACTATCTTCACACTTAATACGCATTGCTGCATCTGGGGAGCTACGGCTGATCATCATCCTCATCATCATCATCGCGTCTCAAGTAGTCACTAAACTACTGGGAAGACACGATTGAAAACAATGCGGTATTGGTACAGTTGTCGATAATCAAAGTTCTACGACTTACAGTGGCGCAAACGTGACCTCTGGAAGGAAGCGGAAAGTTGATACTTCAATCTCCATATCTTCATATGTCCTAAAAATATGCTTCAACGCCTGCTCTAGTTCCTCTATACCACCGTTCGCCACTCGAGGAGTGTACCTGAAGACGTCAGGCTCACACCCCTTCGGAAGAGCGTGGCCGCCGGGAATACGCAGCCCCTGCTCTCCGCGTGTGCCATCAACTGGATGCAAAAAGGTTGGTGGAGCACGTATTACAAGTGGAGCTCGAGAGATCAACGGGTGCTCGCTCACGCGCTGATACCACACGCTTTTCAAGTGATACCACATTAGAGCACTGCAAGGTACAAATACGTGAAGGGACTAGATTTTTGACTGATTATTTACATATAAATGCTAGATCTTAACGGCGGCGCAGAGAGCGCCGCCGGTCTAGAATTCTCGTGGCGCAGAGAGCGCCGAAAGAACAAGACCCAGATAGCTCGGCTGCCCTTAGGTGGCGGCACGGCTAAGCTGGCCGAATGGCTTCTAAGCTCTCCGCTCAGTTGGCTGCGTTGGTCGTATAGCTCAGCCGCGGGTGGTGCTGGCTTGCTTTGGCTAAGCTGGCTCTGAGCGGCTCAGCTGGCTGAGTGGCTCAGCTGGCTGAGTGGCTCAGCTGGCTGAGTGGCTCAGCTGGCTGAGTGGCTCAGCTGGGCAAAGGTTAGCAGCTAGACAGATAAGACTACGGCGCAAGCCCCTCGGCGACCAAGCTAGCGGCGCGAGGCTGGTTCAGGGTGGACTATCGTGGGCGCCCCTCATGGCTAAGCAAGCGGCCTGGCTGTCGCTGTCTTGCGCTAAGGTAGCAAGCTGGCTGCGGCTAAGCAAGCGAGTTGGAGTGGCCATGGCAAAGCTAGCAAGCTAGATAAGGCGGGGCTAGCAAGCTGGCCAAGATTAGGCTAACAAGCTGGCCCTGGCTGCCGGGCTAAGCTAGCAGGGTGGCCATGGCCAAGCTAGCTAGCAAGCTGGCCATGGCTAAGAAAGCAGCTGCTGAGCTAGGTCCTGCAAAGGAAGCAGCTACCAAGCTAGCTATGGCTAAGCAGCTAGTCGCAAGCACAAGCTAGCTATGGCCAAGCAGCTAGCACGCTGGCTACCATGGCCAAGTAGCTAGCTTGCTAGCCCAATAGGGGCGGGCAGCTACCTAGTACGCTCGCTAGCTATGGCGCAGCAGCTAGCAAGCTAGCTATGGCTAAGCAGCCAGCAGGCTAGCTAGGGCTAAGCAGCTAGCTATATAGCTACGGCCAAGCAGCTACCTTGCTAGCTAGCTAAGGCTAAGCAGCTAGCAGGCTAGTTATGGCTAAGCAGCTAGCAGGCTAGCTGCGGCTAGCGTAGCCAGGTAGCTGCGGGTAAGGGGGAAGCAAGCCAGCCAGCTAGGCTAGCAGCTAGCAAGCTTATTACGAGGCGGCGCTGGCCCTTGCGGGGGGGTCTCCTATTGGCTTAAGTTTATAACAGCTGCTCCTCCAAGAGTCTCCTTAAGAAGCATTTTTGTCCCCTATTTCTGTAATAGACACTCTTTAAGACAATCAATCTCCCTAAGGAAGGCACTTAAGGAGGACTCTTAGTTATAATTATTTACTACGAGTGCGAAGGAATTTCCGAAAGAAGAGTATAAATAAAAATATTCGCTAGAAAAAATAAAAGTTGCACCACATCGGTTGAATCAAACTCGTGAGCCATAATGCCAATTCCCATGCCCGATACTTTTTGCACTCCATAATGCGCCCCGCTACGAACGGGTCACGCACATACTCGCGTACCCTGTCTGCCAGCTTTGGAGACGAGTTAGGCGGCTCGATTGCACGCTCTTTCGCCACCTTGGCCAACGCGCGCTTCTTGTCAGCATGCTCGCCAGGAGTCTTTTTCTCGTCCAATGACTTTTTTAGCGCCGGAATATCCTCATCATGCTGCACACGACCCACCCCTTCATCATCGTCAACATCGTCCTCCTGAGGAGTTTGAGTCTGACCACTCTCCCCCTCGTACAGCTCTTTCATTCTGGCGTAAGACTTACCATAGACTTCAGCAGACACGGAAGCATTTAAGCTTCTACCGTCTGTAAAGCTGAGTGTGAATACCACTCCTATGATTGGATTAAACGCAGGAGTACTAGTACAAGAAGCACTCACATCTTCATATGTCTGAAGAATATGGGCCACCGCAGTCGAGAGTTCAGTGAAATCTTGCCGACAAAAACCGAACAGCCGAATGCCATCCAGCGTCTTGAAACGCGAAGGCAGGACGAATCCTGGACGATCGCCATCGGGAATACCTTCCAGACCTCGATCTGGCTCCTGAGCTCGAGCAATGCCGCTGCCAACTTGGAAGGTTAGACCTTGCAGAAATCCATCGCGGTGAGCATCTTGGATCTCCTTTTCCCTTGAAAACGGGACAGAGATGCCTGTGAAGATGGATTTTCTCAAGCCTTAAGAAGGGCATGCTCGTCGCGAAAGGGTGCTTCACCATGTAGTCCCAAAATTTTTTTTTCATGGCATATATCAGTGCGCAAAGTAGATACTTTTTGCCTTCCTTCACAAGGCTCGTCAACGCCGGACTATCTCGCCACACACGCACTGCCTCTCCCAACTTTCCGGGTGGAAGTGCATTTTTCCCTTCCGGTTCTGCTCCTTTCGATGCTGCTTCATTTTGAACCAGTGTCGGGGCCAACAGGGAATGCACCTGCCCGCGTCCCCCCTCCTGTTCCATACCTTCCAAGATGTTGTTTTTGCTCAGCATTTTGATCTTTTTCATGACCCCCGAAGGTCCCTTCTTCAATGCTTCGTAAGCCTGCGCATAGTCCTCAACCGACACTCGATATGCGTCTTCAGGTCCTGCTGTCGGCACGGATACCATAGCTGCCTCAACCGCGTGGCCCACAGAGGACAAAAATAGAAAAAGCTGCATCCCAATAGAACGTTGCCCAATCGTCCGTTTGGAGGTCCCACGATAGGTGGGAAAGTGTTGACGGGATCGACCAGTATATTCTGCCATCTTGTGTTGATGAATAGAAGAGGACGAACAGATCCGATTACCAAGAGTCGGCTTCTCTTTATTATACCTGATTATGCAAAGGGATTTAATCCGAGATCACCAGTGCCAGCCGTCCTTGATTGATTTATTCTTGTTATAGGCTTCACCTTCTTTCTTTAGGGCTAGGAACTACGTAGAGTCTAGTTCCTTCCTGCGAAGAATCTAGGTGCTTTATATTGGATCGAGTGAATATAATTGTGTCTAGGTATAAATATGATAACAGTTCCTCTGGGCTGCTCGTGCTTCCTACGTCGTAGCCCAGTCTCTAACTCTTCGATGGTTGGGCAATATATTCTAGGATACGACGTTAGTAGTGGCCAGATATGACTTTGTCAAATAATATAACGGTGGAGCACGCCTAACTAGGAAAAAAAACACAAAAAAGCAAGAGAATACGAATAGGCTGATTGGCAAGTTACTAAATGGCCATGCTTATGCTAGGACCCGGCTATTCTAGGCGCCGCTAGTTCGTCCAACTGCCCTGGAGGTCTTCTCTTCAAAGGCGGTAAGTCATCTATTCTTAAACGGACGACGCTAGATCAAAGTAAAATCTTCAAGCGGTGAATTAAATCTGGACTCCGGAATCAGAAAACGCAAACTGGAGGTATGGCCAAATGATGAATTACAATTACAACGGGTTCTTTTATTATTTCTGTTATTACTGATGTCATATGAATTTCTGTTATTACTAGTGTCATGTCAGGTCATGCGAATCGTCTGGAACACTGATCGCCGCAACTTGAAACTCTTGATCGTTGAGGTGAGAATACTGATACTCTATCATTGGTCTGTAGATCTCCATGTATTTCGTGATCTCCATGTTGTGTTGATGTGTGATCTCCATGTTGTGTTGTGTGATCTCCATGTTGTGTTGATGTGTGATCTTCATGTTGTGTTGATGTGTGACCCTCATGTATTATAATTCATGATCTCTATGTTGCATGAAGTCGAGTCGTTACCTCTCAAATTCAAATCCTCAGCCTTCTGCTTTCCCTGACACCGATTTTATGAGGTCGTGACAAGAGGTTTTAGTGCAATTGGGATAGAATAGGACTTGACACCTCAACCCACGCACAGGAAGGGACGTGGAATGACAAGAAAGAAACGGAAGCTGGTGGTAGTTGTTGGGATCATTTCTTTGTAACTACAAATTGGAGACCTTTGTGTTTGTGTTAACAAGCAGAATTTGTATCGCCACCCTCTGCTTTGCGTTTCGCAGAAAAGCAGACTTTTAGTCCATGGGCTTGGCGTTCAATGATCACTTACTAGTTGGTCACGTATCAGCGCTTGCAATTGATGATGACGATGATGAGGTAAACAGTTCACGAGAAACAGGTTTGAGATGTTCAGTTATGGCAATCAGGGGGCAGATTGCGTGGAGGAATACACAGTAGCGCGGCATGAAAAGTATATTGTGGGTGCATAAGCATGAGAATCCCGAAATAGGAACATGACCAAACGGCTAACGACACCTCGAGTGCTATAGCGTTCACATCGTCATGATAACGATCTACGTAAGTGCCACAGTATGCAAGTAAATGAAAAAGAAAATGCACGAGTTAGTGAGAGCAAATTAGTTCAGTATGCTTACGCCATCTTCGTGCTATATAAAAGAATATGAAGAGGTCCTGGGCTACGACTGCTAGGAGTTGCATATTCTTGGTTACGATATCCTAGACAACTGATGAGAATGCTACAAGGCGGCTACTCAATGGGAGAGGAGTCTTAAGTCATGATGAAACGTTCATCTAGGATTTTGCCGGCGCATCCGATCGCACGACTGAGTTCACCGCTCCTGGCAGCAGTCAAAAGGCGATCCCCAGCGTTCCAGCTTCTCAGGACGCATATTGGTAGGGAGAGTACCTGTATAGTAAAGCACAGGGTATCTTTTTTTCAAAGCGCTTACACATGTGAATCGCTCAAATGACCATAACACGGAGCACCGTCAATTCTTTAACGCCACTCAGCACGGCGCCTACGCTTATTTCCCTGACGACTCATTACTTCGTTCTATCTCGAAAAAGTTTGTAAAAAAGTTACTAATCCGCAAATTTCTCGAGAAGTTTGTAAAAAAATTACTTCTATCTCGAAAAAGATACTAATCCGAATCTTCCCATCAAACGCGGTTTCAGACGGGGGTAAATTTCAAAAAAAACGAATCACGAATACAAAAAAGTCGTGACCTTTTCCGGTATGGACGATTCCTGTGTAAAGGGGCCAAAAATAATGATTAAATACTGCATATACATGTACGGGATTCCAAGCTGTGGATCTTCACTTGAAGCTAGGAAATTTATCGGAAAAACTTCGACCACTGATGTAACCCGCACCTGAGAGTAAATAAAACGTGTTAGCTTGTTCACGTAAGTGACATAAAAACAGTTGGATTTTCCGCCAAAGTTGGCTACAACCCAGCATTTCCGTCGACTATGGCTCCTAGATGTGATTACAGTTAATTTTGTAAAGACCATTAGTTACTGCTAGCAGTGGGGATGATCTTCCAACGGAAAACAACAAGTATTTGTTTCTTCAACAAAAAACCGTTATCTTTTCTCAAACAAAACCGATTTTCCTCAAACTATAAATAAATTATCGTGTCTCTACCTGTTTGATCGTGTCTCTAACAAACTGTCAAATCCTGTCCCTAACTATCAACTTTGTCAAAGGAACTAGTATTTCCAACTGTCATGATCACCTTGTCTCTAGCAAACAAGACTAGCATCTCAAACTATTTGTGTCAAACTATTGAAAGCATTTGTTCCATTGCCTCGAACTAACCCAGTCATCACCTACATCACCTACTCTTTACTCTATCAAGTCTAAACATTCATCATTTGCACCACCTACATTACTCTCTCCTATGTCGAACTACCCCCACCACCACCATTTTGATTTTCTTCCTCTCTTTCTGCCCGCGCGGTTGCCAGCTGTTCTATGCGGGTGAAGAGAGCTTTTCCAGTCACTTTCGGTGTAATCCTAGAAGCCAAACCACCAGCGTCCTGTTCACCTTCTTGTTTTCCTTCTAAATCGATTCTTAGAGCAGCTCAAAATAGGGTTCTCCTCGGTCATCTTTCTGAAGATCAACGAGTACTACCTACCCAAGGCTCCGCCATTTATGTATGTGCCTAGCTAGAGGTATCGAAGTTGGTATCGTTGTGCGATAAATTAGAGCGGCGAGTCCTTGGTAATTTGCAAGCCATTAGCTTTTTGGTTTGTAAACTACTAACGAAGTAGTGACGACACGAATCTCCTCGGCGATCTGCCTAGGATTTCCCTGACGACTTCTACCAGCGAATCTAAACCCTTACGAGGTACTAATAAATACAATAGAAGCAGAGTATTTTTGAACACTCACTCCATGGTTTGATTTTTGGTTTTTACCTTAGCATATCCCTTGGATTGTAAACTACTGACATTTATTAGAATGTAGTCCGTGGATGAAAAGGAATCACCATTAGCCAAGCACATAGCCTGCCTAGCCTTAACATTGTCTGTTGCCTTTTCAATTGTTTTCTTTTGGCCAATAACGCAGGATTGTAGCTCGACTTTGGTGGTTCGTATTTTGGCGCTGCTTCTTTACTCGCGGCTTCCTTGCTGGCAGTCTTCCGTTCTGGAGGAGTTAGAGCCTACGTAAATTTTGGAAAAATACTTCCTACTTCTCTGGTATCGTTCTACCATGAAAGCAGGTGTAAGAACTTCTCTGGTATCTTGCAGGTGTAAGAACTAGCGTCTACTTTCACATACTTATACAGTCCAACTACCCTTGAAGATGATCATGTTCCAAGGTGCGTATGAGGACGCTATTACTTCTTTCTTTCCAGCCTCTTCTTGCAGTACAACTCCAACAGCATTACAGGATGCATATTTTTCATCTATAGAAAGATGCCTCACAGCACCAACAACGAGTCCATAAGGGAGACAAAGCTTCTAGTTGCTGGACCAGAATCTCCACCTTTCGAATGCGGATAAACAACGCTTTAAACCGGTTTCGACAGGAAGTGCACGATTGCACTTCTTCTTCGGCGATGAGGTTAGAAGAATATATTTCACTGCGTTGGAGGTTTTCTCAACAATGGAATTCTGCATTCGACGTTCGCAAAGACGTGTAGATCCTATGGCTTAGAAGGTCTAGAAGGGAGATAGAATTATCAAACTACGATCCTAGAATTGGTTGGTAGAAAAGCTACACATTCTGAACAATATCGCAGTAGAGAAAGAGATCCGCTCCTTTTTTTTTCTCCTTTTTACCTTCCTTCTAGTTTTCTCTTCTTTCCTTCTAAGCTCTTCTTTCCGTTATACAACAAGCTTACTCTTCGTCACAGGACCGAAAACAGAAGACCGAAAAAAGGGAAATCGGGATGCGATTGCTTTTGGAGTCGAAGTTAGAAGAAGATGTATATCCTGCAAAAAGACACTATGGCTAAGACTCGACTGTTCATAAAACTAGTTGCAGGTGAAGGAGCTGTCGAGGGAGCATGAGTGCTGATTGAAGAATCTTGATCGCCAGCTTTCGGACTCTCACAATTTCCTCCTTTACTCAGGCTTTGCTGCAACGTGCGCCACACATAGTTAGGATCCTTCTGTAGTTCCTGTCCGCGTTGTTCCTCACGCTGTTGTACGAATTCCAACAAGTCGTATCCGTCTCGAAAGTTGTCCTTTAAAAAGCTCTTCAGCTCCACAAGAGTCGGCTCTACTACATTAGCGCTCAAACTATCACTTCTTCAGTTCATTTCTCCTGAAAAATCCCAAGAGGGACATAAATTCTCGAAATGAAGTGCATCAAGCCTTAACGACAGATATCCCTGCCAGCATGTCCTTGTAGCATTGCCGCACTCTCTTTTCTCGCTCTTCGGCTCCTTTAGGATCGTCGTTGGCAGGGTCGGTGCCGTCTGCCGTTAGAAGTGGCACGTAATGGTCAGACTCGCATGACTTTACCTAAATCATGAGCGATAGTTTGCATAAAGGGGTAGACCTAGAACATCGGGGTGAAAACTAACCGGTTGCTTTACTTAGTGCTTTAAGCGTCGCTCTAAATCATGAGTAATAGTTGTGCAACTTCCCCGAAAGTCATAATGTAGTTGTACAACTTCCTTCTTCTTTAGCCTGTGCCTCTTTTAGTGTTCTACTTTGTGCTTTAAATCATGAGCAATAGTTGCGCAACTTCCAGGTAGTAATTCTAATGATGGTGATGGATGTTTTTCGTTTTCACGACCAACCCATAAGTCAAAAATTCCCGAGCAAAGACTCTCCAACTGCCGACATGACATCAAATCAAAAAGCTTGCGTCTGTGCTCTTGTGCTTGTTTTTGGACGACCGCCCCATCTTCTTCTTTGGCCTGTGCCTCTTCTTCCGCGGCCTTATTCAAAGCCCCAACCTTAGCTGCCCGCTCCTCCTCTCCGAAGCGAATCAACTCCAATATCGCCGCCAACTCCCGCATTTCTCGCTGAGACTCCTCTTGCTTCCCGTCATCAGTACCCTCAGCTTCGGGCCCTACTAGAAGTCGCCACTTCGCTGCCACCACAGGATCGTCGGACTTGGGCACCTTTCCACCAAGAACCGATTCTAAACAGCCTTCTAGCCTCTTTTTCTCCGCACTAGCCTCTGCTTCGACCACAGTGAGTTCCTCTTTCGCCGTGCGACGACTTTTTAGAACCAGCTAGGAGAGGACCATCTTTCTGGAGAGCATCCTGGAGCCCGTATCCCCTTCAGTGGAAATGAGCCCAAGATGCTGGCTATAAGATGGATTTCTTGCGAAGCCTTAAGCTGTGCGGTCGCAGCGGCTTTGTTGTGCCTTTAGACGGATGCCGACGCGTTGGTGCGGAGAAAAACTTTGGTTCTGGTGCAGCCTCGTTCTCGTCCCCTGACAAGTGCTTTACACGCGGTTTGCTTGATTGCCTCCTCTCAGCTTTCGGACGAGGTGTCGGCGGTGGTGGTGCAGGATCTGCAATAGCAGGTGCTGGATCTGGCACTAAAGTTTCATTTTTCTGAGGCACTAAGGCTTCCAGACCTGGAATCTTCATGTGGTGCTGACGCCTGGTTACAAGTTCCCCACGATCATTCAAGCCAGAGAGTTCATCTGCAAACACGTCTGCGGGTGGAGACGGTGGAGAAGGCGCCTGCAAATCCTTGCGAGGACTCACGTCAGATGCTTCGGAGTTATACTTCGGTTTCGGAATGTTAGGTTTTGGAGGAACTTTCGCCTCAGGAGGTCTTTGTCTTGGTGGACTTAGAGATGACCGCAAGTCATTTACAACTGGCTGGTCACTAGCTTCAGCTATTTCCTCTACCTCAGCACGACGTGGTGTCCGTGTTGGCGGCAGTGCCGGTAAAGCAGGACGAGACGAGCGTCGATCAGTCGGCTGCGGGACTCGAGGTGTTGTTTCGCTAACGTGGCGCACAGCCATAGGAGCACTTTGTACTAGACCAGTGACGAAGGTTCTCTGTTGTCTCATCTCTGGCTGTTGATCGAATCCCGATTGGGAACCACGAGGGCGGCCTCTAGCAGATCTGCCACTGACACTACAGGAAGTGCGCGCAGATCGGAGGGACATCCTCTCCTGGTCGTTGTCAAAATCGTAGTTTAGAACAGAATGAAAGGGTTCAAGCTAAAGATCACATGCCTTTAGTGCTGTGCTAGATGTAGAATCTATGTGTATTTTTTTAGCACCAAACTCATTTTTATTTTCATATATATTCACACTATCCCATAAAAGAGGCAACTGCGCTGAATCACCCGTATGCGACCATGAGCTTGGCGGCCGTGCCCCACTAGGTGTCGACGGCTCTGTCCCATAGTTGTGGAAGTCCGAAGGAGCTGGCCAAGGATCCGCCAAAGATGAGCCCCATCTGTTATGTCCGCTGCTAGAAGCTATTGAGGATCCCTCTCCATCGTCGTCATTTTGCATGTACGTTCTCATTGGTGGTGCTCCAAAGCCACCTGGGCCTCGTTTTCTCGGTGTCGATGCTTGCCTCGAAGATCCTAGTCCTCCTGCTGAAGAACTCGCCGCACCCCGATGAGCGGAGTTCGAAGAATCTGCACGTCCATTTTTTCGACCTGTACGACTGCCGCCGTCCATATGACCGTTACAACTTGGCCGACTTCCCACACTGAAGCACCTCTTTCCAGCATTCTCACTGTCAGACCCCTCCGATAGCGGACATTCACCGAGAGAACCGCACGGAGGCGTCACGAAGGGCAAAGACGTACTGCCTCCGCCGCCTGCAGAGCAGGCAACTATATAGTTATTGTTGTTGTTGCCAGGTGACGAAGTGATTGCACTGCCACCGCTTGCTCCTTGTCTTGGAGAAGTGAATGTTGTACTGCGTTGTAACGGTAAAATACTGGAGCTACGTTCGCTATCAGACGACATTGGTCCACTGTTGAAGTCGGCTCTCACTTTCTGTACCCTAGCTTCGATGTCTTCATCGATTGTGCCATCTCTTCTACGGTCCTTCCGCAAAACCTGTTGTAGTGGTTGCTCCCATGATGAGGAAGCAGGCTTCGGCCCCAATTCCCATGACGAAGAACCTCCAGGTCGCTTTGGTGCACTACAACTAGTGCTTGAATTTATTCCCTCCGACGAATATCTCAGGTGTTCTGCTGGCGGACCAGTCGCTAGTCCCGAAAGTGCGGAACTCCCAGAAGAAGCTGGCATAGGCGGAAAGTGATCAACAAAAAGCGAACCCGAAGCATCTGGTTGTTGTCCTCCATGATGTGCACCACCAGTGCTTTTTGCTGAAGGAACAAGAACAGGCCTCTTGCGTTCCGCCGATTGTTCTCCCTCACTTTTAAAAACAGTTGCAGAAAATCTGGTTTCTTCAGCTGCACCTGTGAATCTCGACGTGTCGGGCGACGCCAAAGAGCAGGAATCGGATCCTGTCATTGTCATATCTACAGGACTCATACAACGTGGTGCCGCATGAGAATGCGGACGAGGTCCTCCATGCAGGATGTCAAAACCTGTTAAAATCATGTCTGAATTTTGGAATACTTAATTCGTCACACTCACACGACACGGAGATGCTACTGATAACACAAATCACGATGAATGAGTTTACATAGAAACAACTTCTCAGTATCACCATCACGATGAATGAGTTCACTATCTATTTTTAGCAGCAACTTCTCAGTACCATTCGACACTGGTGACCCGGGCGACCATCGTAATCCGCCTGGTGACAAGCAGGGAGATGCGAGTAAAGGTGCTGTCTTGCTCTCTACAGGATTCAGAACGACACCACGATTTTCTCCACCCGAGTAGGGTGGTCTCGCTGTCTGGGGATTTGGCGAAACTCCTCGAATCGGACCACCACTGCTACTTGCTTCGTATCGGTTCTTGCTACTCTAAATGAAAGGAACTACGGGGAAGAGTGATCCATCACGCATCAAGCACATCGTGCATCTTTCTAGAACTACGATTTGCACTCCAATACCCAATTATGTACCATCATGACAGTAAGTACTGCAAAGACTGACGTCATCAACGATTGCATCACGATGAAAAAAACCCTAAGAGGCGTTTCTGGTCTTGGCGTCGCACGCGCTTTGACCCAATCGCTTGCCCGCTCGAGCCACGTTCCTCGGTTGTTTGAATTTTGCCGATCTACAATCTCACTCTCCCTAGCTCTTCCTTCTTCTTCCGCTCGTCGTTTGCTTTCGTGTACACTCTGCTGAAACTGCTTGATACGGTGAAACGTGGATGCCGACACGAAATGTGTTGTCGATCCGCAAAGTGAAAATAGAATCGTATTCGCCAGCAGGAGCGTTGTCGTGAGGCGTCGAATGATAGATGCGGATCGAGTGATGCAACATGTTGGACGAAGTCGTTTCGATGTTGTAGCTCGGATTCGGGTACTAGCGCGAAGAGTTTGCGGTAGTCGTCCTAGAGGACGATAAAGGCAATGGCATGGCGATGGTGTGACTTCATCTTTTTTCGTGGTCATTTTGATTTTTACATGATCAAAGATTAGTGCGATCTACAAGTAGTCGACGATTCATGATTTAACTTCAGCAAACGGTTTATGATTGAAAAAAGAAACACTTTTGCGATCTGAGTTGTACCTATGTTTTTTTTATAGAGTAAGCGTAAGCACAAGTAGGATTCGTGGGGACGTTAAAACATACGAGCTGTAAGCTTTTTTCACTTCTGATGCACACACCAGACGGCTGCAGCCACGGCGGGTGGCATTATCGCATGCAAGTCTATGCTCTCCTACGAAAATCAGAGGAGCATCTTTTTTCTTTCTTGAATATGGTGAAAACAGAATATGTTGAAAACAGCATCTCAACATCATACGAAATGTCTGGAAGAACCGATCTTTCTTTTTCCGATGTGGAACCGAATCCAAAAAGACGTCACGGAACACCGTCCCCAGAAAGCAGGGGGCACTTCTCATGTCTTTGGGAAGAACAGCCACAACGCGCCAATTCTCACAAGTTGCTTCGAGAACTAACAGTGATGACAAAAAATGTGAAAACAACAGTAGTCCGTTAGGGCTCCTCGGTTGCAACGTTTTGGTGACTAATTGCCAGTTTTACGAGGATTAGGAGTAGCACCAATCTGCTTCACCTCCAGTCTGCACACAAATGAAATTTGATTATGAAAGTCGTTACTACTTCATACTGAAGCTAGACATTAAGCATAAAAAAAGTTCCTCTGCCATTGACAACAACAAAATCTGTTTTTGAACTTAAAGCCTTCACGTGGAGCTCCATTTCGCCATCGCCGCATGTATGAGCCTTTCGCCCTCAGCTTGCAGTGTTGTACTGCTTCACCCATTGAGAGTAGAACAGCTGCACGTATTCCCATAATTCCTCTGCACAGCCTCAGCTCAGCCCGGCTGCAAAGTGACAACTCAGCCCCACTGCACAGCAACAGCTTAACCCCACTGCACATTAACCCCCTTCCCCTCTTGGTGCAATTCCCACAGTGGGGACATGTCTCGGAGTCTGGTCACAGCTTCGACGATAGCTTCGACAGCCTGATCCACTTCCTCTTTGGTGGTGAAGCGGCCTATGCCGAAGCGCAACGACGTATGCGCCAAATCTTCACTAACTCCTAAAGCGCGAAGGACATAACTAGGCTCCAACGACGCACTGGTACAAGCGGAACCGGAAGAGACGGACATCGACTGAGCGAGTGACATCAAAAGGGACTCGCCTTCAACGCAGGCGAAAGAAAGATTCAGGTTGCCGGGGTAACGTTCGATGAGAGAACCATTGAGTTCGACCTGTGAGGAGATTCAGATTTGGGGTAGGAAGTGAGAGGACTGAAGAATATACGAGCTTTGTGTGGAAATCATGTTGAGATTCAAAAGTCTGAAAATGGATTGAGTACAAGTTCAACTATTCAATCTATAATAAGTGTGAGTAGTACCGCGTCCAACCGTTCTGACAGGACTTTGTGCATATGTTTCGACAGTCTCTCGACATGCCTCTTGTCATTTTCCATTTCTTTTCCGGCAAGTTCAAGGGCCGCTCCTAAGCCAACGCAGAGGTGGGGTGGCAAAGTTCCTGTTTTTGATGATGTGCGAGATGTGGTCTAGGAATGATCTTTGAATCGGAATTCTTATTCTTATTGTTTTTGTGTAGTCATTCTCTTGTCGGGACGAAGGTAGAGCGCAAAAGATACTTATCGATATGGTACCACTTCTCGTTCCGAACTCTTGACCGCCACCGTCGATGATCGGACGCAGTCTGACACGTCTTCCCTGCCCCTTCCTCACATACAGGGCGCCAATACCCTTGGGGCCGTAGATCTTGTGCCCACTGATACTCATCAAGTCGATGTTCATTTCGTCCACATCGATGGGCTCTTTACCTGTAGAAGGGCTTGAGAAGAAAATCGAGACTTTTAGTGATTGTAGGGAAACAAATCGGAACTGAGAGTAAGCATGCCGCAATCTTCAAATACTTGAAAGAGAGCGTCGTAACAGAAACATAAAGAAATCTTCACTGGTGAAAATCATATACCAACGCTCTGTGCTGCGTCGGTGTGAAAGAGGATGTCGTTGTCTCGGCAAATTTGGCCAATGGCTTTGATGTCCTGCCTTGTGCCAATCTCGTTATTCACATGCATGACAGAGATAATGCCCTGAGAGTCAGGAGAAGTGTTTTTTGATTTTGAAGTGCTTTTAGATTTCGTGATTTGAGGAACGAAAATCGATTGGATATTATTCCAGTCGTGTAGTTTCACCAGCAGCTACTTCGCTTTCTTCAATGCAAGGTAATAAAGAACATCCATCAAGTTATTTCTCATCAATGAATCGGGGTCTAAAAAAAAGCAGTAGTACCGTATCCGGTCTAATCGCTGCCTTCAATTGCTCCAGATCCACGAGGCCGTCTTTATCTACAGGCAGATAAGTAACGTCCCATGGTTTGGTCGGACTCTTCGAGAGCTCAATACAACTTGCCAAAACACACTTGTGCTCAATCTCTGTCGTGATGATGTGCTTCTTTTTCTTCGCGGACGCTAGGTATTGGGCGGCGCCTTTCAGCGCCAAGTTGTTGCTCTCGGTGGCGCCGGAGGTGAAGATCTGGTGGAGTGGAGGATGTGATTTCATTTCTGGGACATTTTTGGGACCGACACAGTGGAGTGGAGGATGTGATTTCATTTCTGGGACATTTTTGGGACCGACACAGTGGAGTGGAGGATGTGATTTCATTTCTGGGACATTTTTGGGACCGACACAGTGGAGTGGAGGATGCGATTTCATTTTTGGGACCGACACAAAATCAGAACAACTGTATTTCGAAGCATTTAAAGAACAAGGGAACCTTCTCTAAACTCTTCAATCATCTCCCAGCTAAATTCAGAAAGTAGTACAATCTCTTTCTTATCCGGTCGCGCTCCAATTGCAGTCGCTATTTGATTTCTCGCTGTTTCCACCGCTTTTTCGGTGTCCCATCCGTAGGTGTGAGATCTAGAATGCGGATTCCCAAAGCGACCTGTCATATACGGCAACATCGAATCCAATACTCTGGGATCCAAAGGTGTCGTTGCTTGGTAATCCAAATAGGCTGGTCGCATTCCATCTTTAGTCGTTTCTAGAGGACTATTGGTGGTGGCTGTGGAGGCAAAGGCCCTTCTCGAAGCAGAACAACTCGTCAGAGAATTGTATAAGTCGTGCCTTGATGCTGCAACTCCCACTCCCACTCCTGCACTGTTCGTAGTAGAAGTCGCTGTGGACAAAAGCGAGGATGAGAAATTCCTCTGTGCCGTTGGCAGGAACCACCGAGTCGCCGAGGAAGACGCCGCTGGCGAAGTCCCAGTCGCGATGCGCCCTAAGGCGGAGACACTACTCGGCACCGCACGAGACGTCATTTTCTTGTTCAAGTCTGGAGTCGAATGATTTGACTATCGATCCGAGTACTGTACAACCTGAGAAAACATAAACAGTGTTATGCCAAAATACACTTACACCCATATATTAATCCTTTACCACGTCAATTATGCAAATCCTAACCGACTGATAGACTAGGCACCCTCTATTCCGTTCCAAGAGAACTCTTCTACTACAGCAACAAGGAATTACTTATGGCTATCAAAGGTGAAGATTTCGTTCTTCAATGAATTGAAATTTGAGCATCAAGGATAATGACGAGGATCAGTAATTACGAGAAAATAGCATATGATCAAGGGGACAGAGTTGTGCAAGATAGAATTCACTTCTCACGAAGATGGGTCGTCCATTCCATCTGTCGTCCTGAAATTGCAGAAAAAAGGATCGTATCATCGGAGCATTGCTCAACAAAGCACATGTATCATTCGTTACCGGAGATGGGAACACTGTACTTTCTTTTCACAAACATCCTCGCGGTTAAAAACAGACAACACTCAAATTTGGTGCGTTGTCGACAAGCTTGAAGTTGATGTAGGACGCTCGTCATATCATTATTCATAATCGTGCTCCTGCTGAGAGAAAAAATCACATCACCGAGAAGTCTAATAGTAGAACGTCCTCAATGCACTCCTAGTTCTGCGCGAACAGTCAATGTTTCTGAATATCCTATCGCTTGTTCTTGTAACTCTAATAATCTTCGAACAACCTCTACTTCTAAGTTGTTTTCTTCCACCTTGTGTCCCGGCACTGGTTCTGCTGTTGATCTAGTGTTAATTATGGTCTTCTCATCCCCCTGTCCGTCTTCCTTTGATGTTTTCTCGGTCTCCTTTGCTGTCCTGGCACTGGCTACCCGCTTTCTCAAACCTCCTGGTAAACACAACATCACCCAATCCCGATAGCTTTGCAACAAGTTGGCCACAACGCAGTCTGCGGCATACTTTTTTTGGGCTGCATCGGCTTTCCGTAAGAGAAACTCCTCAGATTCCGTTTCTAGTTTGAACGTAGTAAGAAAACAGTCTGGTGCCCAGGTCCTGCGAATTTCTTGGAGGACTTTCGGGACCGGCTTTAGGTGTAGAGTCAACGACGACTGCGAACTCTGAATCTTATCCGTCACCATTTCCGACTCAGGTATGTAGAAATCCGAGACTGCGGCAGCCAAGTAGATTAATGCGCGTTTTTTCAGAGGAGCAAGAGCTGAGGTGCATTCACGCAGATAAAAAAGATACTCGAAAACGGTAGTGAACGCGACCGGGAGGAAACTAGCAGCATTGTTGCAGGTGGCAGTAGCAGTACTAGCAGTGGCAGCGGCGATGAGGTTGTCAAGCTGGGAGTTCGATTTCGCTTCCGCAACATCCTTAGGTGCCTCATCAACAGCGTCTACGATTGCTGTACTTGTCTCACCTACGAGAGCTAGAGCATCCTGCAGTGCCTGAATTTCGTGCAATGGGAAATTTATTTCTGGCTCATAGTCAAGAACAAGAAGAAGTAGAGCGTATAAACCACACTTGGTTATTAACATGTAACGTAGTAACAAAATTGAATTGGTAGTCCTACAACACGACTACTAACACTAATTTTCATACTAACAGATACGGTGCTAACGCATGATTGATTTTCATATGACACATCAGTCTACGAATTCAACAAAGTCACAAACTCTACTAGTTGTGGAGTACTGCATCTCGCTTCTGTTCGTAGATTTGCATCCACTGTTCTTCAGCCTCTTCCAGGGTCTGGGTTAACTTCTTCTGCTCTAGCGTTGCGTATGTCCGATGTTCATCGTTAATCGGATGATTCGGTATTGGAGATAGAGGGAATGCTGCATCTCGTAGAGAGATCATCTGTAGGTGTTTCCTTTTCCTTCTTTCGGTGTGCCTTTTCCTTCCTGTAGGAAATGCACCTCCGCAGATGTCCTTTCCGTTTTCCACCTGACTTCTGCGGAGGTGCATTTCCTACACTCATAACGGTACCATCCACGAGACAGCATCATTTTCATGCAACTGCGCTTGAAGATCCGGAGTGAGCATTCTCAGTGGTATTCTATCTGGATCAAGGTTCCTCTCGTGTTGATTGAGATCGGCAGCTGCCGTGCTGCTTGAAGATGGTAGATTCTCTTGCACGAGGTGGTTGGTAGCAGCAGTGCTCGTTGCTGGCATGTTCTCTTGATTTTTGAGGTTCTCAAACCGGTTGTCAGGCCAGGCGGCAGCGGTCGGCACCTTAGGGAAAATCTGACTCCGCGAGGAATGAAGAAATAGCACACTGCATCCCTGCTTTAAAAAAGCCTCTGCAGACCGCGCACCCCTTCCGCCTGTGGAAAAGTTTTCGATACTACGGACCGTATTCTTCTCCAAAGGCACCGAAGTCCCACCAGAAGTAACGAGCACAACTCTCGATCCCTTCGGAATAGAGTATGAAGCAGAGGGAAAAATGTTCTTCAAAATGCATTACAGGTATACTTTCTCGAGAACCAAACGTCAAGCTTTGCAGTGAGTGTCAAAACCTGGTCTTTACCTACTTTGACACAGAAGTAGTCGAGTGAAAGTACACATCTATTCCTCGCAACAATCAAAAGTCTCCTTCATCTCATAACTGCCGCACAAAGGCATCGATTCTTCTTCTTTGCAATTCGAAGTTTTTGGGCAAGCTTGAAGAAGCGAAAAAATCCACTACTTCTGGTGCAGTTGCAGCACTACTTGAAAAGCTTTGTTGGGTATCTGAGAAGCTCCCTCCGCCTCCAAAATCCAATACATCTCCCACAACGCCTTCGCTTAAATCTGCATACTTGCGAGCTCCATCTCCAAAAAGTCCTTGTTTTCCAGCAGCTATGAATTGTCCATTTCTGCCATCTCCAGGAGGTCCTAATTCGCCAGGTTTAGTCTCATTTCCATATCTTACCCAATTCGCGGCCTTTCCGACTGCTTCTACAATGCTTCGCACCTCAGCCATAGCACCTTTACCTTCATCCCCACAGGCCAAAACTTTGGACACAGGATCGATGAAACGCAGATAGGTTGGTGTCTTTTTGGGGATTCCAAGCTGTCTAGTTTGGTGAAGTTGCTGGCTCATTGACACACCCGACTTCTCAGCATGACTATGCCAGGACGGTAATGGAGGAGTGATGCCTTCTTTTACTCCACCTTGCGACACGCTCATTCTCGATGCTGTTTTTGGCGACATTTCTTGTTTTCCACCACCACCAGGCTTAGGTGTTTTATTTGTAAAGAACGAACTTGACGTGGATGTGCCAAACGTATCAGTCGTGTGATTCATTCGCTGGTCTGTTTGTTCATATAATCTGGTGGAAGATGACGAAGCTCCTTGTGCACCACCCCATCTCTGCAACGTCTTGACATGTTCTCGTGTCGCAGGGTGTCGCCACATAGCTGTATTCATCGCTGGACATAACAAAAACGGCTTCATCGCCTTCTCCTTCCTGTCTTGGTGATCTACTGCTCCCACTTGATGATCACCAAGTAAAGCACTTTCTTCTTCATCATCAACAGCAACAGTCCATGGCCAAGCTCGTGCACAACAGGTCAATAAATTGTCACAGAGTCCCCCTGCCAATTTCGCCAATGTGTTAGCCGACAAAGGCGCGATCAGAAACACATCGTTGCGCTTGACCAGTTCGATATGCAATACCGGATCCACCCCAACGTGGGCGTACTCGCTCCACTCATCTGCGTCTGTGTATACTTTCACGGGAACTCGTTTCAAGAGTTTTTCTTGCTCTGCTGAACGTGGTGCTGTTGCCACATCACTTAGCAATTGCGAGACACTGGCGCCGACGTATTGAACCGAAGGATTCAATGTGAAAACTTCTGCAGACTGGGATAGAACGGCTTCGATGCTGCGCACATGACCAGACTCCTGCAACTTGCGTAGCAGATCCGGCAGTTTGACGGCAGCAACGGATCCCGCGACACCGAGGAGCAGTCGAACGCCGGACGTTGCTGGTGGTGTTTGCGGCTCATTGATGCTCGAGGAGGTCATGGATTGTGTTGTTGCTGGTGCGTCCATATTTTGTTTGTTGATGGTAGCCTTAGCTTGTTGGGCTATAAATAGACGGTGAGGTGGACCTTGTTGTTTCTAGCTTTTATTCTATCATCACAAAAAAGCTAATATCAATCGATAATCATGGAGTGGAAAGGAAGCGCAGCTTGTAAAAACAATATTGTGAAAGCGGTAAAGCCAGAACATTTATTTGTCCTTCCCTGTTTTTGATCCTGATAGTGCCTAGGTCGAACGTCATAAGCTTTCCGGAAGTGTGCCTGATGATCCTCACAGGTGAGGAAGCTCTTCTGAAGGCGAGACGCAAATCAACGACAAGCTCACGCGGTCACTGACGCGAATAGCTGGTGCTATCGACGTTAGAATATCATCTTAGTACTGTCATGTTGACACTACACTCTTGCGACACATAGTCATGCTTGTCCTCTAGGAAGAAGGTCTATGCAGTAGCATTCAGACGAAGGAATCTGTTCATGAGTGTACCATGCTAGGTCTGACTTCTAATCCGCAAATTTGAATAAACTACTAGTGTGTCCAAAAATTTGACAAAATGTGGGGCGCAAAATGACTAAGACTAACTGACTACGATGTGTGCTAACCGTGTGAGTAATATAAGTAAGCAAGATACTACTGGAGAAGAAGAGCAAATGACTTATACTGTGCAAAACTACATGAAAATAACTAATAGACTAAAAATGTTCGTATTGACGGATTATGGGTTACGTCTATACATCAAAGCAAGGTAATGTTCAGAAATATGAGTTAAAGTGTTCATCTGTACTCAGAGAAATATTCAAAACTATGGGCATTCTAGGCTGTGCAAAACCAATTCAATGTGCTAGTGGTTTATCTGTTCAACGCAATGTAACCGAGTCAAGCTTTTTCCAATAGTAAGTATGATTTATCTCCGTCACAAAATCATGTGCTAATATCAGTGGAGTAGTAGAAAATCGCATAGATTTTTGTAGTAATACAGCGTAGAGGTAGACGGCTCGATATTCGTATGACATCTAGACTTTTTTATGCCATGTATGAGGAGTAGATTCTGACGTGCGTGCTTACTTTTCATGCAAGACAAGCTGTATAAATTTCTTCATCATGGATACCAATATGGTCTACTTTCGAGCAAGTTTGAAGTTTGTTGATTCCCAGCAGCACAACCATATCAGAAGCTTTCCCCTAACAGTGTGGGTAGTGTCGGACTTCTGGATGGAATCTTTCTTCCGTATAGTTTGGCATTTCGTTTTGCCAGCAAATCTTCTGTGAACTTGAGCATTTTTCCACTGTGATCTGGCTCTCCCGCCTTTTGCAGCGCTGACTCAAAGGCTTGCTGATCCCTTGCGTTCTCGCGACCGATTTCGTCCACTAATCTGTCTAGTAGCCACAAATCGATCATGCCATCATCAGCGCACCCACCGTCCACGCGCCACTCGAATTTGCGGATGTAGTAGACCAACTCAAGTGACTGGCGAAGAGGCCAATGTTGCGGAACCACGAGCAACTTGTGAAGCGCAGCATGAAAACGCTCGGCGGGGACGAGACCTGATTTGGTGGTGGTGCTGTTTATAAAGCGGTGATTGCCACCACTATAGCAAACAAAAAGTTTCACTACTCATTAACCGGTGACAGTCACCGCTTATTAAGCGACGACAGTCACTAGTTAAGCGAGAGCAAAGTCGCCACCTATCCGGGAGGAGCGCCCGAGGCACTTAAGGGTCGGACCACTGAGGCGCTTGAGGGGCGGCCGGCTGAGGCACTTAAGAGCTCGCCCGGTGAGGCACTTAAGGGACGGCCCGCTGAGGCACTTAAGGGACACACAGGCGAGGCATTTAAGGAGCTGCCCCCTGGAGCACTGACTTAGGGGGCCGCCAGCTGAAACACTTAAGGCTCCCTCTGCTGAAACACGTACCTAGCACCCAGGTGAAACACTTAAGGGGCCCTCTCCTGAAACAGTTGGAGGGTATCTTATTGACTCTTCCTGAATTATTTGTCTCAAAAATCAGAATAGTACCATGTGCTTGATTTTCTTTTCTCGTAACGTCCTTGAAAAATTTGACCACGGAGGTTTTTCGCAGTCTGGTCATATGAAACAGCTTCTCAAATATCCAACGATAACGAGGCACGACAGCCGAGGGAAAGTCCGGTATCTGCACAACAACGTCGTCTTTGGAACGCATTGTCTTCATCGTCTTTTTTGCAGCGGCTGTCGTGGTTGAAAGAGTTGTGAAGAAAGGGTACATATTTACCATAATTGAATGAGCTCAACACGTTGATGTGATGGCATATTCTTTTACTATAATTGAATGAGCTCAGCATGTTGTGACGTTGTAAAACTGACGACGATGATGTCGCTAGTCGATTCGGATCCTGCGACTTCCCGAAGTCTTCTTTGAGTTCTACGATGTTGTAAAACTAAATTCGGAGTAGAACTAAATACCTCTCTCTTCCTCTACTATCCTTTCTTCTTCCCGTTCGTGCCACGGTCTGCGTAGAGCGTGAGGTCTAGGAAGAAAATAATTCCTCGTCGTCCTCGCGGGCAAGACATCGTCATCATCGTCGGCCACAATGTTTTTGTCGCCGACGAAATTTGTTTAGAGGCAGCATTGAAGAAGACGATTAGAAGTTGGCCTACAACCTGCAACCAAACTAAACGTCTTGCCAGTTATCCTTGCAAGTAGCCTTAAGTTGTGGTTACTCCCGTGCCCACGATTTTGGGACTGGTGTTCCAAATCGTTGTATTCGCATCCCGAGCGTTGATCGAACCGCCACTAGGCAGTGGCGCTGCCAAGGTCACTTGGCCGCCGTCTTGATCCAGGAACGAGGACGAAGCCGTAGTAGAGTATGAGGAGTAAAAAAGGAAGGTTGTACGACAGCACCGGAAGCTTTTGCTTCTCGGAGGGTTCTAGAGACATCAAGATTCAGTTGTTCCAAACTACGGCCTATAACATCCAACGAAACGACATTCCACGCTCAGTGCCAGCAGCGAAAAAACAACCCAATCACGCCATAAAGAATTTGTCATCAGCATTTTTTGTTCCATGCCACTTCCGGTCATGTCCATCTGGTCTTTATTTCGTTCTAAATGCATGTCCAACCCAGAATGTTCATGGGCGTCTCGGAAGGCGCACTCGGCTAAGTGTGAAACTCCTAACCGTTCACATCGTGTTGCAGCTCCAGTCAGGGAGGTAGGGAGAGAAGCGATGCTGCTTGGGATGAACATAGGGAAGGGGTTACGGGAGAAGAAGTGTGTGTGAAAAAAGAGGTAATGATTGTAAGTATGTAAATGTTGAGAATGACAAAGCAAAAACCTCTATCTTCTTCGAAAGTATTTTACTACAACACCGTCATCACGACACCGCATTCAATCGATTCTCTATGCAGTAAAGCAACATCATTCATAATCATCTTATTTTCAGTGCAGATTCTTGACGCCGGTGCACAGCCTTTCGGAATGGGATCATAATCGCGCCAAGGCTCCAACGCACGGCCCCACTTGTGTGTTAGAGTCAGCTTTTATCCATCTCGGTCCCCGCATCTCGAACCCTTTCTGATGAAAAACAAGGGAAAAGGCCATCGAGATGCTCTGAGAGATGGATAAAGGCTGACCTTAAGTGTGCTTGGTACTGTCTCCGTGATATCAGGATTTCTTCGGCTGCAGTTTTGTCTAAGTTCTTAGCCGTTTTCAACCGCTTCAGTTCCACCGACCGGGTGGTGAGGGGCATACTAGAATTCAGAGAAGGGGATAAGGAAAGACCGTCGTGAGCAACTAGACGTCCGGATAGGTCTCTCCCAGTTTGCTGCAGGTGGCAACGGGCTGTGGTTGTTAACAAGATGAGAACAAGATATACATAAGTATCCACAATCCATCGCGACTACCTAGTTGTACACCAAAATCCGCGGCTTGGTATGATTCTCACAACATTTCTCCGAAATTCAAATCAAATCTACATTTTCATCAAACTAGTAGTCCATTTAACCATATCAATTATTACCTTTCCCCGTAAGGTCGCGGTACTTGGCCCAACACACTGGATTTAGCATATGAATCAGACCTAAGGAAGCTCGTTCCTTATTCGGCACAATACTTGGACTCTTGTATTTCAGCTCTTTTGGCAGTAAAATAGCCTCCTGCCGATTCCAACTACTTGGTGACATACCTGATGGAAGAGCAAGTATCACTATTAATACCGTGTGTTGGAAGTACTAGAACTACAAGTAGTATCTTATAAGATTTAGTTATAAGTTTAATTAGGGCAGATGAAATGAAAAATACAAGAACTAGTACCTGGCAACGGGTTATTCGTGTAGATTCGTCTATGGCTGTTGTAAAGTTCGCCTCTGTCTAAATCCCGATGTCTATTGTGCTTGATGACGTGTCTCCACAACGTCGCAGCTTTGCCTGATATAGCTCCATAGTCGTAAAATGCACAGTCGCTGTTTCGTCGAGGGATCTGTAAGGAGTTGAGGGTGGGGGGTTGCGGTTGGGTGGTGCGGGAGCAGGGACGTGATGAAGGATGTGGTGTTTCTAGGAGCACGGAGTTGATAAAGAGTGAGGCGTTACTATCTGATCACAACCGTAGTATCATGAGAAACTACATCTCGAGCTTGTAGAAAATCCATCTGGCCAACCATCAAATGATCATATAACTACAAATTTTTTCCGTTGCCGTTGTGCTTCGTCTCTATCGTCCGCTGACCCCGTAGTTGCTGCTTCTGCCTGCTCGTGGTGCTCTTCGTCACCTAATATTTGTTTGCTAATTCATTCTAAACATTTACTACAGCTGGAACAAGTAAAATCATATACTTAGACATACTGCCTTTCCTAATTGCAACCCTTAGTCGAGCCTCTCAGACACAGACTTACAACCCTTTTAGGATCAAGGATGACGATGAACTTACGAGTTCTTTGAAATTGACTCCTCCAACAAGTAGTCTACCATGACCATGTAGTCCCCCTCCAACTGCGAGCACTCCTTCTTGTCCGACACTAGCGACACTGTCATCCTCCAATCGTTCCCGACGTTCAAAGTCTGAAATGGCGCTGCTCACTCTCTGAAGTGCTGCCGTCTTGCGCTGCACCAAGTCCATATCCATATGTCTTCTTACCTTGTGCTCTCGATGCCGCGCTGGGCCGCCACAGCGCAGAGCGAGCACGCTCCACGGGCATGACGGGTGATCGTTCATTTTTTTTTTATGTTTGTTGTTTGACTGCTTGATTTAATTTCTTATATGCTTATGATGGTCGGATGTAGTCTCTACATAAGCAGTTTATGAGTACAACCTTGTCTACAGATTTTTCTGCCTGTAGAAATTTTTTTGTGTGGCGACTACCAGTTTTCTATCGTTTCACGGTTTCTTTGAAATATGGAGAATCAATTGTTGTCCGTATGCGCTTCTCCATCGCCCTAAACTGGTGCGCCTTGTGCAATCCGGAGAAAAACGGGATGCTCCAGCTCTACGCAGTCGAGAATGTATGCGTGTGTGTCAATACTGCTTACATCGTTCCGGGTTGATAAAAAATAACGGTACTCTACTACACAAATGTGCCTGTGCCTGTGCATGTTTCATATCCATAAACCCAGTCGGTTTTCCCATCCAAGCATAGGAATCCCTTATTCACCACATCCGTCCTCTATCCGAGATGAAAAAATAATTTGATCAGAAAGAAAAAACAAACTCACCGTTTTGCTATGCACCATCAGGAAAAAACATTTTCATTTGTATAATTTAAATAAATTTAGCAGTAATCGAGAGTAAAACTTTCAATCAAGTTTCCCTGTCCCTGTGGGAGATCGTAGCATGTGCAGCTAACTTCCGACTTTGGCACGCGCTTGCCCTTACCGGGACATCGTTTCACCCCTCCAAGGATACTGCGTTGGTCCATGTCCTAGGAGTAAAGTAGTAGGTTGATGACACTTAGTTTATATCATGCCTGATCACAGTAATCTATTCATCACCTAAGAAGGTCCCCATACGAATTCAACATATCATCAAGTTTTAAAAAACTGGGTATTATGAATCTTCATCAAATCAAATTAACCGAGTTGGTACTTTTTACTCATCAAATCAAATTAACCGAGTTGGTACTTCTTACTCTAACATCAGCACGACATTGAAACTAGTAAATACCGGTGTCCCGTAATACCACAACGTAACCTGGCCACAGAGGGTGACTGAATGGGTGTTATGGATGAAAGGTTGGAAGTCCTCATAAAACGCATTCCCCGCACTCGTGAAGAGAGCACCCCGATCGTCGCAGTGGTTCTTAGAAAGCGTGCAAAAAGTTGGGATGAGGTTCCTCTTCATCCTTTGCTAGAAGGCTTTACCTACGCCAGTTGAAATTTGACCTTTTCCTCGAGAAACGCTTCCTAGTATCCTTCGCTACTGTATAAATCAATCCCAAAGTAGAGAACAAAATGTTTTACCCATTATTACCTCCTATCGTTAATATCATGCCAGGAGATAATCTTTCAAAAAGTACAGCCCAATTGATTGATTGATTTACCTATTCGTGAGGTAATATCGGGGCTACCAGCATCGAAAAAGTGCATAATCATCAGTTGATGCAAGTACACGGATTGTGGTGCCAGCTCATTTTCCTCATTCACTGGTGGATCCGCCGGAAGCTGAAACGTCTTCGTCACCGCGTCAGGCTCCACTGGCTGATGTGTACGCTTTATCACCAACGAGTAGGCGTAATTCAAGTTTTGTAGGAAGGCCAGCAAGATGCTGCCTCGGTAGTTGACCATCATGCTCGCTTTCCGGAAGGAGGAAGACATTCTGGTGCATCCAAATGCCCCTCTACTTAAACATGTTCGTAGTTGTGAGTGTGCAACCACGAATAAAAAATAACAGTGGCACTGCAATCCTTCTTTCAATTAGAGAAACGTAGAACGAGTTTTTGGCTATGGCATTAAAAATCAAACTTTTGCAGATATTTTCTGAAACAACAGTAGTATCTCGGATGTTCTTTCTCTCGATTTTCCGCCCGATCTACCGACAATGGTGTTGTCTTGATGTTACCGAAAATAGTTGCGCATACGTTTTTTCTTAATGTTTAGAAGTCTACCTCTCGTACCTACGCAGTTACCGATTCACGATATGCTCTATTACCGTCCAAATTTTACTACTATCGCTGACTTGCTCTTCCAGTCGTCTCGCAGTGCTCTTGTTGTCAAACAGAACTTATTCAGACACTGTCAAAACTGCTCACACCAAAAACATCCTAAAACAACAAGCGCATCTTCATAAAGAATGCATAACAAAGGCCAGAAAGATGGCGAATATTGCGTAGTTGGAAAGGAGAGTCTCAGTCTTTTGACTACGACCAAGCTAGGATCACTATGGAGGGCGGGAAAGCGTCATGGGGAAGGGAAGTTTCCGGGAGCTATGATTTATTCATCTTCATCAAATTCTCCGAAGCTCAATAAGCTCTTTTTTTCAGGTTCCGTTGATACTTTTTTCTGGCGCTTTTCTGCAGGTTCGGCAGTTTCTTCTGCTTTCTGTTTCCTTCCTTTCGGTGACGAAAGTACTGAAACCAATGTGGGATCTATTGCGCCAGTACTCGGTGTAGGAGTTGGGTCGGTTGTACCAGTGATCGTAGCCTCAGTAGTAGTGGTGGGAGGATTAGTAGAGGTTATGTGAGATGAGGTTGCGTGTGGTTCTGGAGGCTTGCGAGGATCAACGGGGACATTTGTTGCTCGTCCGGGCTCTGCATGAACAGCTGGTGGATTGGGTATAATACCGCCTATTGTGTGGTCTGTTCTACTACCATAATTATCAGCATGATCGGCAGTTGTTGTGCTTCTCGGCTCTACAACTACCTGTTGTTGATCTACCTTCCTCCGTTGCTCCTGTGCAGAAGGTACCTGTTGCGGTCTACTAACAACTTTAGTAGAATGTAGTTGCTGATGTAGTTGCTGCTGTTCTTGCTGCATCTTTTGCTGCTGCTGTTGCTGCTCTTGCATCTTCTGCTGCATTTCTTCACGCTGTCTTTTGCGTCGTTCCGCAGCATCCCGCAGCCGCTGTTTATCCCTCAAAGTATTCTTCATCTCGTGCTTCAGGTATTAGAGGAAGGCTGGTAGAAAAATTAGTAGGTGCGCCAATATCAGGAACTAGCTATAATATCAGGAACTAGGCACCTAATAGGAGAAGGCTCGAACCCGCTTCAGAGAAATAGTGATGACCCTACTCCACCCCCAGAATACAGTGACAACTCTTCAAGCTTATGATCGTCCTTAACGATAAAGATCATGGTGAGAACTACCCTTCAACAATACTTCTAGACTTTTCTGATAAAGGAACAAAGTATTATCGTGTCCACAAGCTAGTACTACTAGACTCTTCAACAAAAATACTTCTAAATTCTTCAATAAAAATACTTCTAAATAACTTTTCGTCTAAACGAATCTTTCACTGTAGTTTTTTCCTTTCATAAAGATAGTGATGATACTGGAGGCTGCCTTGATTGAGGAAGACCTTGTGACACACCTCGCATTCGTAAACCGTGTCCTTCGGATGCAAAACTTCAAAATCGCGAATAACATACTCGGAACCATATGCACGATAACGACCTTTTTTGTTTTTTGAGGAGGTACGACCTTTGATGTTGGTTAAGGCGAAGATAGGATGGTAGACCTTAGACAAAAAAAGGATTGAATTGCGACTTTGCTCACACATCAACGAACGCTAAATACCTGAAGGGAGCGCTTCTCTTGCTGCGTCAATACTCATAAGATGAAAGCCTGGTAGAGACCGCGCCCGTCCCTCTGGGCATATTGGGGCATTTCTTATTGGGCAAAATGGCACGGTCTCCTCTTTCGGTACCAACGTCCCAAGCCTCAGCACTCCGGCTGCATTCATCTTTTCGACTCTACTCACGAAGTTTGAAGAGAGGCAATTCACTTAGAAGTTTGAAGAATCTACCTCAGAAGATAATAAAGACCATACTCAGTTGTAGTTTCGTGTGATTACAGAAGACAGCCCACAATCGAGGTTGATGTAAAGTGATTCAGTATTTTTTACTACAAGCACTTATTATAGATACAAGATTCAGCTCATTACCGATAACCTTCATTCCTGAACAGGTGAAAGATGGCTGCCCAATATTAGTAAAAGCAGTCTGATGTGAAAACCTCCACTCCAAACTCCTACAGCGGCACAAACGCTGTAAAGAGAACAAGAATCCACATACGAGGTATTCACATACCAGTTTTATATCAGAGAACCTCCGAGGATCGTGGCTTTTCAGAAGAGAAGCAATAGAGTGCCTCTTCTTGTGAGAGAGATTGAGTTTTCTCAGGAGACGCTAGAACTCAATTGTCTTCCAAACATCTACATGAAACCACTTTACAACAGAACAAGAAGTTTACTAGAAAGTTACGATTCAGATCCTTGAAAAATTCCAACTCGTCGAGAATGAAACTGAAGGGTATAAAAGAACTCAACTTTTCTACCCAAGAGTACGACTTTTCTCAGAGAAAACCAAATAGACCTTGATCCAGCATTCAAATTCAGGAGTGTTGGAACGAACCAGTAATCCTCTGGGAACTCTGTAGGCCACTGCTGGAAACGTCTTGATCGAACAGCGAGTTTTGGAGACTCCGCACAATATTTTAACCTGCTTTTGGTTGATGTGGACAAAGGAACTGCACGCCCATTGCTCCACAGGTTGTTGTGCTTTTTGGGAATAGTCTTGCTTCGCGTGATCCCTCCTGAGGGCAACACGGGGAGGATGTTAGTTCATTCGGATTGGACCCACGACTTCCCCGGATCTCTTTCGAGTTCAGTTCTCCGCATTTCTCTGGCAACATAGATACTGCAATGAATCTTCACGCGACCTCGCGCGGGGTTTCGTGAAGCTGGGCGGACCGGAGTGCTGCGAACAAAACCGAAAAAACGGAGTTTGGAAGGAAACCCGGCCGACGCCGCTGGTGCCGAAAGGGGTCCTTTCGAAGCGGTTCTCTTCTTCCCTGTTCGCGCGCGGTGTCATAGCTTTCTCACGGGCTTGCAGGTGGGTGGCATTGCTAGCCTTGAGGGCCCTTGTGCCCGGCGCTTGCAGCTCTGTCAACCGGCTCGAGCCCTCCGCAAACCTTGCCAGGGGGAAAGCGGAGAACCGGACGTGGGGGCCGCGAGCATGTCGTCACCGGAAGCCGCGAACAAGGTAAGCCGGCGGCAGCTGGCGGGCCACGCCGTGGTCCATGCAGACGCACCGCGGCAAAAGCCGTGCTCCAGGTCCTGTCTGTTGCTGGATCTCTTCAAGATATGGCGCACAACTTGGATAGGGCGCCGCCCTGTATGGTCGGAAGGCACAAGGAGCCAGGCCGCAGTCTGTCGAGCTAGCGCGGACCGGCTGCCAGGCTTGCAGCAGCAGGCCCCGGGCAGCGCTCTCGCGTTGGGACGGGCGGGCCCGTGGTCTTTTGCTACGGATCCGGTTCTCCTGCGGGTTCTCTTTGAGATATGGCCCACAACGTGGAAGAGGCGGAGCCCTTTTTCGACGGAAGCAAGAGGAAAGCGGGCCGCGGGTGATCGACCCAGCGCGAGAGGGGCCCCACTGCCATGAGAGCGCCGCAGGAGGATCGCTGCAGGCGGCGGACGAACCTGGCGCGGCTGTGGTGCCGCCGGGGGAACTGGTGGGTGCCATTTGTCCCCCGCTTCCTGCTCGCGGCCACTTGGCAGGGGACTCGCGCTGGGCCTGGCGGCCCGCGCGGTATCGGCTTATCGCGGGCGGGCTGCTACACCTGGGGCGCCAGGCTCCAAGGGGTAAGGCCCTCGACTGCGGACTCGCGGCCCTTTCCCCCCCCTTTCCCCGGTTGTCAAGATTGGGCCCCAAGCTCGCCAAAGGTCCGGGCCGTCCGGCCGTGTCGCTCTAACCGTCAGGGCGCCGCAGAACGGCCACCGGAGGTGCCGGTTGCGATGGCCCTCCCTAGCGGCCTACGGGATCAAAGTTCGCGCGCTTTCAATCGGGAGCACAGAAAACCCCGACCAGGTTCCGCACTGTCCCGATTTTTCTCAGCTTTTGCCGTGTGAAGTCGCAAAAGGAAGCGCCTGGCTTTGACGGTCGTCGCGCCACACCCAAAGGGCGGCACCGGGCCACGCGCGTCGCGCTGATGCATAGAAAGCCGCCGCGGGCCGCGAGCGCGCGCGCGGGCCTTCCCTCCAAAGCCGCGCGCTTTTGCAGGTGTACAGAGCAGAAGCCCGCAAAGGTCCCGGGTTTCTGGGGAGAAAGCAAGCGGGAGGCGGTCCGCGTGTGTCGTCGACCCATCGCGGCCCGGCTGCCAAGCTGCAGGACCATGGAGCCAGCGGGCGCGCGGGCGTGGTCTCTCTTGCTCCAAAGGCCGGGCCCCTTCTTTCACGCTTTCGGGCCAGCTTGGAAACCCCCCAAGGGCTTGGGCCTTTCGGCCAATCGGCAACCGGCGCGCGGGTTTTGGTCGCCGTCGTCGAGCTATTGCGGCCCGGCTGCCAAGCTGCAGGACCATGGAGCCAGCGGGCGCGCGGGCGTGGTCTCTCTTGCTCCAAAGGCCGGGCCCCTTCTTTCACGCTTTCGGGCCAGCTTGGAAACCCCTCAAAAGCCGGCGCTTTTCGGCCAATCGGCAACCGGCGCGCGGGTTTTTGACGCCGTCGCCGAGCTATCGGGGACCAGCTGCCAAGCTTCGGAACCCGGAGGCCATTGGGCTTGGCTTGGGTCGCCCTCTATAGCGTCCTGCGGGAAACTAATGGGGGGGCACCGCTGTCCCCATCAGTGTCCACCGAAGTGGCGGCTTTCTCGCTTCTATCGGACACCGTTAGCAAGAAAGCCAGGACTTTCAAGGCAGTCGGTGGCTGATATTGCCAGAGGCGCAGAATATAACCGGGCAGCGATGTTCGGCTGCTGTTTTATTTTGGCCGTTTTTGTTGTTTGTCCTTTGTTTTTTTCGAGGTTGGAGCTTTTCCGCAGTTGTTTTAAGTCAGCTGCTCGGGCGGCTTCGGTCTGCGTTTAATGACACTGGGGCAGCCCTGTTTTAATTGCCCGAGAAATTTGATCCCTCTACCAACCCCCGCCCGCTGTTTAAAAATTGGGAGCGGGTAAGCCCTGCGGCCTACCAACATCAGACCAGAAGCAGGCCGAGCCCAAAACGAAGCAAGCGAGAAAGTTTCTCGACATTGAGAGGACGCCGCGGCCATCTGCTCTAACATCAGAACCGCGACGCCGCAAAGCGTCGGCGCCCGCTCTGTGTCTAGATTCCTCCACGGTCTAGACGTAGGTAGCCGTCTGCCTGCGGATGCCTCTAATAGTTACGCTCTGCCACGTGGTGAAGAACGCACCCCCGCGCAAGGCTTCGGCGGCCGCCTCTTGCGAGCCTGCCGGGGGCTTTGCGAGGCGGCTCCCGCGGGCTCTGCCCCCGCCTCCCAGGCTTCCCGAGAAGCTTGGAGAAGACTCAACCACGAGCCCCAACCGGGCTGCGGCAAAGCTCTCGAGGCGGGTCGAGGGGGGCCCGCGGTCCCGCCGCAGTCCGGCGCCCGTTATGGTTTTGCTTTGTTCTTGCGGCAGTTTGGAGCCGTCTCGAAGTGTCTTCAAGTTTCAGGCTGATCAAATTCGCACAATCTCGACCCCCCACCGACAAGACCCGCGGCGGCTCCATTTCGTTGGGAGGATGGATCTGCTTCCCCTGATGAGCGAAACCGGTAGCGACCTCGGCCGCGTGTGGATTCTAGTCGCGAGGGCTTCCCGACTCCGAGAGGGCTGCTCGTCTTGAAGAAGTCCAGAGCCCGGCCGGGGCTTTCTGAAAAGCAAAGACGGGGAGCGGACTGCACTCGCCTCATAACCCACCGCCAGACACCGCGCGGCGCCCTCGAATCTCAGGAGCGAACCAAGCACGAAGAAGACCGAGCGGGACACACTGCGCACGCAGTGCAGCCCGCCACCAGCCACCGCAGCGCGTCCTCGAATCTCCTAGAAGAGAGGAAAGCGAGAGGGAAAAAAAAGGGAAGACAAAGGCAACACAGGCGGGACCGTGTCGACCGGGTCACCACTGGAGAACCACGCGCAGCCAAAGCCGCAGCATCGTCATGCCGTCCCGCCCTTTGCCTCTCTTGTTTCTCTCCCCGCTTCTCGCTCCTCGAGATTCGAGGGCGCGCCGCGGTGGCTGCTGGCATCGGGCTCCCTGCGGTTCAGAAGACCCAAGAAAAAGAAGAGGGAAGAGCAGAGAAGACGCACACGCAGCGCGTCGCGGCCTGCCCCGTTTGGGTTCCACGCTCAACGTAAGCCCCAAGCCTGGCCCGGGTTTCGAGCATGCTGCGAGTTTCGGCCCTGCCTCGAGCTCCGGGCGTGCTTGGGGCTCGCCTGTTTGGTTTGAGGTCGGGCGGGCTTCCGGCGGGCGGGTTTGGGCGGCTTGCGCTTGGTTTTTGACGGTGTCCGGCTCGCGTTTCCGTTTGGCGTGGATTTGGTTTGGGTTTGGCTGGGGTTTGGTTTGCGTTTGCGCGTGGGCGTGGTTTGGGTTGGGTTTGAGTTTGGTCCAGGCTTGGGCTGGGTTTCAGCCCGGTTTGCGTTTGGTTCTGGTGCGGCTCGGGGCTGGTTGCCGTTTGGCCTGCGCTTGGTTTCGGTTTCGTTCGCGTTGGGTTTCAGTTTGGCCACGGTGTGGGCCTCGTTGGGTTTCTTTGGCTTGGGTTTGGCTTGAGTGGGCTGCCCACGGCTACCAGAAAGCGGCGCAGCTGGGTTGCTTTGGGTTGGGTCTGGCTTGAGTGGGTTGCCCACGGCTACCAGAAAGCGGCGCACTTTTGCAGATTTTGCGGCCTGTCCTCCCTGGTCTTGTGTTTTTTTTCTGGTCGTGACTGGAACAAGGCAGGCGCCAGCTAGAAACTCCTGGGCCATTTTCCAGCTTGGGCCTGCAGGGCTTCGGTTTTTTTTCCCAGTGGCGCCCAGGAAATTCCTTGCGCGATTTGGCAAGCATTGCGCTACTTCTTAAATTCAAACTGGCAGCCTCTGGCTTTTTTCTTACTGGCGTCGGGGATTTTTTGCACAATTTAAAAACTTTGGGGCCATTTTTGGACTTGACACCGGTAGGCTCTAGAATTTCTCCAGTACTGACTGGATCGAAAAGCGATAGGGACTTAGAGGCCTGC